ATTTGTAAATATCGACCACTCGCGGCTTGAGGCGTGGTTCTCGACGACCGACCTTGCGTCCCATGCAACGCCCGCCATGCTCAATATCCGTTTGATCCTCATCACTTAATCTTTCAACAACAATCATCTGCTATTTACATCTCAATTGTTTAGAAAGATGATTTAAAAAGTGCCGTGATATATATTTTATCAAATGGTAATTTTTAAAGGGCCCAAGAAAGAAAGCAAGCAAAAGAGGTGATTAGCAAATCCGTCCACGCGTCGTGCAGCCCAAATAAAGCGCGCGTCACGACTTGGATGGCGACGCCTCTGTTTCCAGAAACAAAGGCGTGATTAATTAACCGGTTCCCTATACATTTTGAAGGTGAATATGAATTCTATAAATAATTCAAATATTTTACCAAAATTTCTCGCCGGCTCAATTTCTCTTGCGAAAGAGTTTTCAAGACTTTCGTTTTCGGCCGCACGAGCGCCGAGTCCAAAAAAGACAAAGGAATGTCGTTTTGATGACACGGGTCTCTCCATTTTTGGGCGAAAAAGTGACGCCAAGGTCGGTAGGAAGGTCGACTCATCACTTTGATTCGGCGGTGCAAAAAAGTCAGACTGAAAAGGGTTGAAAATTCAACTCAGCTAGAGGCTGATGGCGGTCGCGCACGTGGAGTGAGGCCAAAACGAGACCAGCTGATGAGGACGAGCAGAGAACGTGCCAAAGTTTCATATCCTTCGATTGCCGATAGAGGCTGAAAGTGAAACTTATTAGGCCAATGATCCTTTACCGAGTTAAAAAAGTAATTGAGCTCACAAGAGTTTTCCTTGCATTTAAAGTTTATAATTAAATTTGAAAATTTTTTGCCGTGTTTTTGTTGAGTTTCGTCCAAATTGCACTCTTGGGTGGCTAAGAAAATGGTGGAGAGATGCACTTTGGAGATGCGAGTTGGTTTTTGGCGTGCGGCCGCTCGAGCGTTTTGGCGAATCCTCTCGAGAAGGAGGAGCCGTCGGGAGTTATTTGCGGAAAGGAGCTTAAAGCCGAGCTACACCGTCAGTCAGTCTGCTCCGCTCTTGCTTTGCGGCACCCGAAATCGCTCCAAAAAGAGAGGAGAAAACAGCAAGCAATTTACCTCTGCGGTGTGCTCTAATTGCCCTGAAAAATGGAGGCAAAGGTAAAAAGATTTCACTCTTTCTGAAGTTCCAACTCACGCGAAACTTTTTTAATTGACTAATTAAGGAATTTATGAAGGAAAACAGTTATCAATTTTTATTTTGGTTCGTCAGAGACGTTATCTCTGCTGGAGAAAAACCTCTTCGGAGAAAAAGCAAATCGTGTAATTTGTAATCAATACTTGTTATTTTGACACTTTGGTGGCCACAGGAAAGCGACGCCCACGTATAGCAAAGGTGCACGCACTCGTCGCGGGCGTGTCGAAAATAAAATCAAATTCATCAGCAAGTGGCGTTACAATCCGAATGTCGGTGCCTCGCCACGCAACCTTAGTTCCTTTCCGGCTAATTATCCCCGCGCAAAACCGTTTGCACCGATTGTTAGGAAGAAGCGTCTGATCTCGTTCCCACAACACCTGTCGAGTGAAATAGGGGGCGAAATTTGTTGCTCGGTGCTGCAGTGAATATTCGGCAAACTCCAGCACCGGAAGTAGGAATTTTAATCCTGGAAAAATAATTAAAGCTACGGGCTTTTGAAAGTTTTATTGCCAGATTTGCAATCCGCCGCGTGAAAACCTCTGAAAATACATCAAACACAACCGCATTTTGTGCAAATATACTCAAAAGGTGTTTAGATTCTGACCAACCCTGAAAAAGCTTGACTTTTGCAATACTTTGCATTTAATTAAAGGAGAGTATTGGTTTCTCGATCTTTTCATTCAAGAAAGTTCAAATAGATGCAGATGTTAGGAAAGTATTATTTCAGAACTATTTTCCAAAATAATTGCCTGGAAAAAACAGAAATAAATTTATTTAGCTTTTTTTCATCAGTATTATTTTACATCATTTACATCACATCCCATAAAAAAGTAATGAACTGCACACAAAGAATGCATAAGATAGAAATACTATACAAAAAATACGGAATTGCACATATAAAAAGCCAAAAGAAATTGAAAGGAAAGCAATTTTTATAGTGGTTTTGCTTTACTTGATTTGAAAATGCGTCCTGGCAAACAATTTGACCGTTCGTTTGACATAAAAGTCTGCAATTTTATTTGCACTCTGGACCGTTTGGTGATTCACAGTTGATCAACTTCCGTTGCGTCTGAGCGAATGAGAACACAAAGCGTGCAGTCTTTCTTGTACATTGTTAATGGACGTCACACTTGGTCCGAAAATAATTGTTCTGTCTCGCCTCGCATATCGCGCAATTCTCGTCGCTCTTCTTATCCCATACCATTGTACACCAACGAATTATTATTATTGCGGCCCCTTTGGCTCGCTGGCTGGTTAACAAATAAATGCGAGGGGCAGCCACTTGGAACGCATCGCTCGACCAGATGAAAAGAAGAAACCAAAATTAGCGCGAAACAATATCCGCGACGGACACGACGTGCGTTTAGCGCTTTTTTGTTTGTGCAAAATATTTTGGTCCGACCGCAAATTTATTTTTCCATAACGGTTATGCATTATTTTCCTATATTTTTATTTTCATCTCGCGTGCGTTTTTGATATCAGATGAGAATATTAATTTAACTGTACTTTCTCGGCTTGCATAAAGAGCGCAATTGGAGCTGCTTGATTGAATTAGAAGGCAAATGGAGTCAGCAAAAAGCGACGTTAACTCGTTGTTGTCGCCGCGGCACGGGGTTCAGTGAACCAAAAAGCGGCCCACATCTCACAATCGATTCATGCAGCGCTGCAAACAGCGTAAATAATGAAAATGTGCACTGTCGCTCGTTTTGTCAGTTGCGCCGCCACGAAAATATGCAATTCGATAAACCAAAATAAACCTCAAGCTAAATACGTCACCGACTCGTGGGTGGCCACAAGCTGACGTCTAAAAATATGGACAAATAACTTTTAAAAGGAAAAAAATATGTAAATTGTTGTGTATTTGCAAAAATAATTCCCATAAAATTTTTTTATTTTAAAATTTTTTGTATTTTAATTATAATTATGTTGATAAAAAAATCATATATGTATTTTAAATAAGCTTGGAGAAATTCGGAATCAATTTGCATTCTGGGAGAGACCAAAAAATACTATAGATATTAGATAATAAATTCTGCGGTTTAGGAAGAGTGCTTTTTGCTGCTCCATTGGGTTGATGTTTTTATACATTTGCGTCGATTCAAACAAAATCCTGCTCGCCACGGCCACTTCTTCTTCTTGCTGCTTATTCGTCGCTCGCCCTCGGCTACGAATGAAAGAAATGAGCGAACGGCATTCCTGGCCGGCAACTCACTGCCAGCTCCTCTCAGGTCTGCCGTGACCTGACCCTCCGCGCAGCAGCCGCCGCCGCCGCGTCTTCAGACGACGGACGAAGAGTGAGAAAGCACCGCACAACTGTTGGGGGCACTCCCAGCAGGAAATAATCGGGACTAATTAACCGACATAACTGCATTTATTTACAATCAGTCGCTTTGTCCCATAAATAAACAAATTATCAAATAAAAAGTGGAATTCCTGGTTGGAAAAAAATAACTACTCCATTTAAGATTACTTAAGATTATATATGTTTTTTTATTATTATTATTTAAATTTAAAACGACTTTTTTTATTTAAATTATGTTGTTTTGTAGGGAAATTTTAAGAAATTGGAACAATATTTTTTCTCTGTTTGGCAGGCATTTATGAGGCAAGCAGGTGCATATGCTGGTTGGCGGCGTCTTATCTGGCCCGCAATGCGTTTAGTGCGACCTTAAAAGCGATTAGCGGCCCGCGTGTACATTTATGTCGCAAAAACCAACCAGCTCTTGCAAACATACAAACCCAACAGAAAAATCATATTTATTCAACCGTCTGCAGAAATTTGAATGAAGAAAAGTAATCGTCAAACGACTCATTGTTCTGCACAGTGAGAATGATTCACCGAGAAATAAAAACGATCAGTTTATCTGATGCTCCTACCAATATTGCAATGTGACTCATCCTTTATCGTGTTTATCTCGATCAGATGGAACAATACTGGATTTCGCTAAAAAAAAAAGAGACCGCGACTTACTCACATTCAATTGCCGGCGATAAAGGTTTATACTAGTGGCGTAAAGAATTCCACTCATTCCACACATATTTGTAACAAAACGAAAAGTCCAAAGAAAACAGGTAATATTGTTGTCTTTCTTATCTAATCGGCTCGACTGGAATTCGTGACATCACTCACTCAATCCTTGGCGCCTGAGGTAGCAGCATCCGATAACAATTTATACAAAGACTTTGCTGATCCCTTTAGTCAGTTGTAAACTGTGGGTGGCCTTCGCTCCATTGGAAACACGAGCCATACTTTTAAATAAATTTAAGGTATTTTATTATTGATTAATTTATTTTTGGAATTCAAAGATGATTAGAAGAATTGCGTTTGCATTTGTTGCAAATTTAGTTTCTTATTATTGTTGTTAATTCTTCTTTATAGGTGTACGACAAGGCAATCTCTTTGCAAATTGCAGTGTATCATAGAAATTTCCAAAAATTTGAAACGAAAACCACAAAAATTTGCGAAAAAAAACAACGCATATGAAAAAAATGTCAAGATTTTGAGTCATAAAATTTTGAAACTAATTATTAGTTGTTGAACATAAAATAAACTATTTTTATCAACACTGAAGGATCACCAATATAATTGACTCCAAAAATATTACCAAATTGGTCACTGACCACAAAAATCCATAAATTTTGCATTATTTCATTATTCACCTGAAAGCTTGAAAAATTTAAACAGTTCTCGCAGGGTTGGTAAATACCAATCTGACCTTAAACATTTCCCCCTTTTACTTGCAAAATACTTATTTTAAATTAATATTAACTGAAACTAATTTCTTTCCTTCATTTGATTGCAGGCGAGGGCAAATTTGACCAGGCAAAATGTCGCACCACAGTGACGACAACATGTTGATCGCGACCAGCGACTCGTTCTGGGAGCCCAACAACTACAAGCGCACGACCAAGCGCATCGAGGATGGCTACAAGTTGTCCTCGGACCTGATCACGCTGATCCAGGAGCGGGCCGAGATCGAGAGGAATTATGCGCGCAGCCTCAAGACCTGGTCCAAGAAGTGGAACGAGCTGATCGAGAAGGGTCCCGAGTACGGAACCTCCGAAGCCGCGTGCAAGGGGGTCCTTGTTGAGGCGGATCGTCTCTGCGACCTGCACACCAAGGTCAGGGACAACCTGTGCAACGACGTCGTCACGCAGGTCAAGAACTGGCAGAAGGAAAATTACAAAAAGGTATGCGAGAGAATTTAAATTGAATCAAATCGGGTCTGATCGGTTTCTGATTGTGAAAAGGCGCGCACTCTGGAATATATGAAAAATTCTGCGGAAATTCAAAATCCAATTTGTCTCAACTTCGTTGGGGTTTGTAATTTGTAAATGTTGCAAAGTTAGGCTCGATGTTGCTCACATTCCATTCTTCTGCCAAATCATTCGAATCGCGTTCAAAAAAGTTCATTTTCAGCTTTTAATCACAAACGTTTGCCTTTTTTAAATGACTTGTTAATTGAAACATTTTCCCATTTTAGTCGATGATGCAAATCAAGGAGAGGAAAGACATGGAGGACAATTTCAAGAAGGCGCAAAAGCCGTGGGCCAAGCTGCTTACCAAGGTGAACAAAGCCAAAGCCGACTACCACAATGCGTGCAAGACGGAGCGCTCGGCAACCAACCAGGAGAGAAACGCAACCGGAGACAGTTCCTTGTCCCAGGACCAGGTAACTTCCTCTTTTTTGAATAGCCATTTCTCCCCCTCCTTGTACAAAATTTTGAGTTTTTCTAAAAGGGCACACACAGAAATGTAATCGATTCGTTTCTGTATCTTTTTCCAGAGAAACAATTTGGTGAGTGCTGTCTATCGGTGCAGGTTGCGTGGTCTCCGAAATTTCTTTTTTCTTTCACGTAGTTTGACGCTTTGCTAACCGCCCTAACTAACACAATAAATAATGTAGCTCACCGCTCGGGATTGACAAATATTCATCCTAATAACGCACTTTAACCAAATATTGCTTTCTTGTGAATTAATGACAATATTTATTTAGGTCTTGAATTGTGATTAACCTGCTCGGCAAAAGCTTTTTTGGAATGGGATCGATTTGTTTTATCCATTAAATTAACAAATGCTGGAAATTCCAGGTGAAGAAAATGCAAGACCGAGTACAGAAGTCAAAGGAGGAGGTGCAGAAGTGCAAGGACAAATACAACCAGGCGCTGAAGGAGATTACAGAGTACAACCCCAAGTACATGGAGGACATGACCGTCGTTTTCGAAAAGTGCCAGGAGAATGAGGCGCAGCGACTGCTGTTCTTCAAGGAGATCCTCTTCTCCATCCACAAGCACCTCAACATTTCCCAGGACCCAACGTAAATTTGTTTACATTTAATGACGCAAATTATTAATTATGATTTTTAACCTATTTTTAGGCTACCACAAATTTACGAAGAGTTCTACCATACAATCAACAATGCTGACCAGGGCAAGGACCTCAAATGGTGGTCCAACAACCATGGCATCAACATGGCGATGAACTGGCCACAATTTGAGGTAGCTTCATTGGAAACAACAATTTTACATAGTTTGCTCCTAAAAATAGAAAAAATCATAGCAAAATATCGATGCATGGATATTTTCAGAGATTTTATTTGCAAATTCTTTATTCGCATGAGTTTTCATTAAGTTAACTTTGTGTCGTTTTAAAATTAATTTGTGCATGCCATTCCGTTTGTTTTTTGTTGCTGCGTGTCACAGGAATACACAGAGGAATTCCGCGACATTTCTAAGGGCAAGGGCAAGGACGGTCTGCCCGCCGGCCAAATCACCCTCATCCACCAGCGCAGCGTCAGCGAGGACTTGCATGTACGCGGTTTTATTTTATTCATTTACCCTTTTGATTATTTGAGGCTAACTTTTTGAATTTCCATCTTTTGTTTAAAAGCATGACAAATCTTTTTTGCCAAAAATTAATAAAAAGACTCGGGTAACGTATGAAAGGGAGATTTGAAGTTAGAGTTTACAATTTTGCTTGTTGATTCGCAGGAGTTCCCGCCGACAAATAACAAATCGTCCAAGAGCAAGGTTACGGCCGCCAGGATGATTTCTAATGATGTCTCTGATGGCAAAGACGTCAAGGGCAGCAAAGAGAAGGTTGACAGCATCAGACAAACTACTCCGACTATAACGTAAGGAGTACTTCCATATTTTAATTCTAGACATTCACGATTTATTTTAACGACAGAAGAAATGAAAAGATGAATATTAATGGTTAATGAAAAAAAACTCAAATTTTTTTGTTCCTTTTTTAATTTGTTTAGTTGAAATCAATCCATTTAGAAAAATCATTGGGTTTTTTTCATAAATTATTTTAATTTCTGTGTGACTAAAATTTTCGTATTTGTTGAAAGAAATTTAATTGTTTTTAATTTAGGAATGGCAAGAGTCCGCAGCAGCAACAGTCGCAGCACTCATCAGACAGCACTCCGTTTGATAATGACGAAGAGGAATGGGAGGATGACAGCGCATTAAAGGACAACGGCGAGCCGGGAGTTCCTGTGAAAGCACTTTACGACTACGAGGGCGCCGAGTCAGACGAGCTCAGCTTTAAAATTGGTACAAAAACTCATGCTGACCAATTTTTCAACTTTGGAAATTTATTGAAAATTGATTTTAGGTGATGTGTTTGAAAAGTTGGAGGACGAAGACGAGCAGGGTTGGTGTAAAGGGAGGAAAGACGGCCGGGTGGGTCTGTACCCGGCCAACTATGTGGCTGCTGTGTAGCGCGGTGGTGACTAGGACTAAAGACTAAATGGTTATCATTAACAATTAACTACTTCGAAAGCAACAATAACGAAAAGCTATTCACTTGGTTCGAGGAGAAGAAAGGTTCGAAGCTCATCATCCCACCTGCTGCCGGGGTCACTGTCCCCTGGACAAGCCTCTCGAACGTCATTTATATAATTTTCTCTCATTCATCTCTGTGTTAGCGTGAAAAACGAACGACTCGTTTTTCCGAGGTCGTAGGAAGTTGAAAGCAAACAAAGTGTAATTAATTTAGCAAGAGCTGCTGCTTCTCTTTTGTTTAGGGTCTAAGGGCGGAGTCCGTCATCAACTTCATTGTGTGGACCAACTAAAAAAAAAATGAATTGGAGAGAGATAATTTTTCTGTCTCTTTTGTAGGCAATAACGAGAGTATTTGAAACTGTGCCAACTTGGTAATAATTGAAGAAGTGTAGGATCAGTGTTGATTTGTCCCGCTTTGCACCTCCACGCCGCCCTTCCAAGGCTGTACCACCAACCAACCAACTGCTACACCCCCGGAAACTCGTATCCGAGGCTGCCGGGGCGAATTCTGTAGAGAAGAATTCAAATGAACAGTAACCATTCCTCATTAATGCTGATGTTTAATTATTCTATTACGATAATTTACACTTAAGTTTCCAGCTCTGTGTAATCTACAGAGTTTATCTATGTGGAAAGAGTATTAATTTTTTTCTTAATCCATCAATTTATTGAATAAAAATTACCGTGCTGTACATTAAATGAGACGATTGAATGTCACACACCCATCAAGCTGCTGCCAAAACAAGACTTTTGTCTTGCAGCAGGAAAAATGCTCAATTTGTGCTCCTGCAATTAATTCCGTGTTGATCGATCCAAGCACGAGTGTAATAAAAAAAGAGTTTATTCCTTCTGTTCTTCTTGTTGAGTAATTGTAGCGCTCTGATATTTTATTTTCGCCCCTGTCTTCTACTAACTCTTGTGGAAAAGAGAAGTTACTTCTTGTGCTCTGTATATCAAATGTGTATACATAATTAATATATTTGAGAAAAATGGAAAAAAATACTTAATCGTTGAGACGAAACGCCCTCCCCTCACATGTGTCTGTACACTCCGAGAAATTTTGTAATAGAGGTGCTTCCCATTATGTTACGAGTAAATGATCCAGTAAATAAAGATGTCATTGTAAATGATTACAACTTTGACTCTCAATTACGAAACATCATGTAAAACAGTCTCTTTATGGAATTGTTGAAAATTCGGGAAGAGCAAACTTTTGGGTGTTTTTCTCTTTCGCCCTTCAGGACTTGGGAGGGGAAATTTTTTACAACACAAAAATTTCCAAAGGAAATAAGTATAAAAAAGATTTTTTAATCAAAATAAAATATAACACAGAACTGACATGTTAGATTCTGAATGACTTGTGTAAAGTTTTTTCCTACAATATATTAAAAAACATAATATACGAAAGAAAAATTAAATTTAAAGCGTATTTTTTTGCAAGATATCGTCAAGTATGCTATATCAGCTCTCAGCTCATTGATAAGAGCTTGTATTTCCCGCGTGAGTTTAAGGTACCTAACTGGTTGGTTTGATAATTTTGTAGAGCTCTCGCGCACATGCCGCGTCAGTCTCGTTTTTTTCTGCTCATCAGCTGCGCGTGTGACTGCGTGTTATTGTCGGCTCCAGAAGTCGTCCCTGGCAATGGAAAATTTTGAGGTAATTTTTATTTCTAACCTTGTTTTTAGCACAATTCAATCCCTTCCTTTAATCGTATTTTATGTCAAAAAAATTGCGCGACTGATCAAGGCGGGTCATAGAGTGATGGACCCAGTGAAAAAAGCAATCGTGCAATTATTACACGGTGTGATATTTGAGCCGGCGTGACGGACCCTGGCCTAGTTCATAATATAAAACATATCTCGCCTTTCTAAATGTGCTCGAAATATTTCTAAAATGCCAATGCACCCACGCCCTTTGGACTGCATGAGCTATTTTATTACAAAGAGAGTTCAATAGATTGTATTTAAAATTCATCCCTTATGGCGGGGAGTAGGGCTATGTTTGTATAATACGAATAATAATGAAAACTAATTTTTTCTTTCGAAAAAAAAATGCTCTAAAAAAGGCGTATTCTGGATTTTTATTTTTATTGGAAATATGTTTTTTAAAGACAAAAGTTTTCCTGCTCTTCTTGCTTCATTAATCATATCCCGCGCTGTCAAAACTAACAATTTTTTTTTCATCAAAGACATCAAAGAATTATCAGTATATTTTTTTATTTATTTAGTATTCAAATTAAAAATCTATGTTTTATTGACCAATAATAATTTTAAAAAAAGGAACAAGATTATTTTAATTTATGGATTTTTTTTGGCTGTATTTTAAATTTAATATTAAAATAAAATTCCTCCAATTGATAGAAGAGGCGTAATTGAAAATGCAAAGCGAAAGTGTTGCTAGCACCAAAAGTATAAAGTGTCTCGATGTTACACTTTGCAGAGGCGGCGTGAGAACAAAACGGCGCAATTAATCTATCTGCTGTTTTGATCGGGGCGCGTTCGATCTGCGGCGCTCGTTTGCCACACATCTCTTGTATCAAAAGCGCCATATATTCTACAAAGTATTGTTTACACAGGAAACGGCTTTGCTGAGATCTTTTGTCGGGTCGAATGAATGCACGAAAGAAATGCAGGAGGTTGTGATCTTTCTTTTCTCTTTATTGGTGTTGCAAAACTTAAGAGCAAAAGATCGCACTCGGCAGTAAAAGACCTGCGGCAGTATTGGAGGGAATGATCCGACACGATCCTCCTATACAAGACGCCCTCCACCTTTCACATTCGGATGCACATGCGAGATCAGATCAACTTTTTTTACGTTCGTCTATTGCAGGGGAATGAATATTTTCTTACATATATTACGTGCCCACAATTTAATGGAATATAAAAATAAAATCGTGATATATTTTTCGCTTCGAAAAACAAGGATTAATAATTTGCAAGTAAAATTTTAAGTAAAGAATCATTTTCAGTATTTTATTTTACTTATTCATTTTTTTTTAATTGGGGAAATAGCTCTTTAACTGTTTTCAAAGTCGATTGACAATTACACATTTAAAGATATATTATTTATTATTATTATTATTATTGTATTATAATAACTAGCAACACTTGAAAGAGTAAATTTAATAATACATTTTGAGGAAAGTCGTTTGTTTGAGGGAGCGTTCATTACAAAGGGATGAGTCAGGGTTGAATAAAAAAACATTATGGGAACCATAAAAAGCATTATTTTTACATCCACATTAGTAATTGAAAATATTATTGATTTGTCTTTTTTTTATAGATTTTTATAGACGTTTTTCTAAATAGCTGCTCGCAAAAATGAGAAAAAAATCATTTTCCTGGAACTTAATGTAATATTTCTTCAAAAATTTTTTATGTGGTTTTAATTTCTGAGGAGCAAACTGAACTGTATATTTTCAAAATGTTGCAATGAGGTACTAAGTGTATGTAAATCGTATAAAATTTTCTGACGGTTTTCTAAAAACGTGATTGGTAAACGTATCAGCATTTTTAAAATAATTTTCCCCTGTGCGTCATGCAGACAGATCAATTTGGGATGATCTAGCAATTTGCCTAAAATTTAATCAAAAATTTTGCGGCTCATTTGGCGTTAGCTGATAAAAATCTCGGTCTTCACGCGTTTGAGGTGGAGTTGCTACACTTTTAAGAGTCTCTCGGTCAAGGAAGCGAGAGAGCTCGAAAGAAAGCTCCTCACCTATCTCGTAGTCCTCGGCTTTGAGCCGAGCAGCGACCGCCGAGGTGCACATACAAGAGTACTTCCTCAAAACTAGTTATGAGACCGCGGCGCCAAAAGTAGGGCGAGTGAAAGTGATGTCATTGAGCACCGCGAACTCCAGCAGCCCCTTCCCTCCCTCGCCGCGTCTGTCGGGCCACCCTCGCCGCTCGACCGGCAGTCTCTCGCGCGCCGCCCAAACGCAACGTTCCCACCTGAGAGACCTGAGATTTTTACCTTATTTATACTTTAAACATTTTGTGCGAGTTCCGTTTTGGACGAATGCTAGTGGAGAAGCACGCTTTGTTTTCTATACCCGTCTAGGACTAATTTGTAAGTTTTTGTTTATTTAAAATATTTTTTAACAAGTTGTTTTTATCTAAATGCTTTTTTCAAACTTTTTTGCAGAAATACAGAAATTTAATTATTTATTTATTTAAAAAGTTAATTAGAAAAATTAACAGCGTTATTTTATACATTATTTCCTTTTTAATTTGCTTAATATGACATCAATTTCAATTGTTACTTTCGAAACATAATTTAAAAAATTGTATGCTCACCGAATGAAGATTTTAATTTAATTCTCACATTCTACTTTGTACTTAGCTCTAGCCAGAATCAAAATTGGACGGGAAAAATTAAATAAAGAAATGAGACTGTCGCTGTTTCAGATTTATTTTGTCTTTAATGCCTGATTCATGTTAGATAAATTCTATTATGTCTACTCTTTTAAATTAAATATTTTAATTGGCAAGCATTAAAAATTGCACAATGGTTAAAAATTTCTATAACATAAGCTTCTTTTAGTTCCCCCTGATTAAGGGCAATTATAATTGTTGCATTCTGGCTATTTTAGTAGACTACTATGATAAATGTTTTCAAAAATATTACGTGTTTTTCTATTATTAAATATCTTGTGACAACCGACAATCTTTTAATTTTAAGGAAACAAAATTACTTAAATCATTAATTGAAACTATTTCAAGAAATACAAATATAATTATGCTTGAAAGGTTTTTGAGCCATCAGCTTTTGCCACAAAAATGCTTTTTTTCCGTACACTTCTTGCTGAAGGAAAGCCTACATAACTTAATTTAATTGTTAAAAGTAGCACATCAGAATATTTTTTTTTAAATAATACAAATAAATAATTATCTTATTTGCACAAAAATTAAATTAAGGACCATTGAATTAATTTTTTTCTTTTCTTTTTCGGCTTAAATTCAATCAAGAATTTTTTGGCTTCATTAACTTTTCCCTTCAAAATAGTTCAGAAATCGTGAATAGCGTATGAATGACCTTATAATAATTTTAACAATGATTTAAATCACGTTGGGCAATTTTATGGACTTTATTTTTTATAGTTAAAAAAAGCAAGTCTTGTTTAGCATCAAATGAATTTTATTTCACTGAATAATAAAGGTGCTTCTTTGTTTGAATATTCATTATTTTACTATGTATTCTGTCATTTCGTCTGTGGGGTAGAGCTGATTTGCATGGAAATTAGCTAACAATCTGCTTTTATTGCTGTCTGCAATTCCCAAAAGGCCGCAAGAGAGTCGTGCCGAGACCAATTTGCAAACACCATAAACCGTCTGCTGGAATATTGTGTGTACTTGTTAGTCTCAGCTGGCAGAAAAAAAACCTTGGCAGTGTTCTTGCCGGCGAAAATCAGGATTCCAATTAATTAGACACGTAACTCGCAAAAAGAAGCTGCTTAAGAGAGAATGTGTTCACATTTCGCCACACGCCGTAAAGGTGCATAAATTATATATTGCGCTTGAAAACGAGAGCCAAAGGCGCGTGTGAATTTCGCAGTTGTGCAACGAGCGAGCGACGAAAAGAGAGCGGACCTTTTGATGATGAGATGTTTTTATTTTTTGTTGGCAGGAAGGAGCACCATGCTGATAGTGCCGCTGCTTCTGCTGGGCCTGCTGGGCCCCGACGCGGCCCTCGGCCTCGACAACGGACTCGCGAAGACGCCGCCCATGGGCTGGCTGGCGTGGGAGCGCTTCAGGTGCAACACAGACTGCAAGAACGACCCAGAAAACTGCATCAGGTCAGTCTTATTCTCGCTTTTTCCACACATTTCGCCTGCAGCCGTGCGCAATTCACTTTTCTCACTGACAATGAGAGTTTTGTACTTTTACTTGCGGTGCAGGTGCAATTTAAATTTACTTCATTTATTCTTCTAATAAAATTATTTGTAAAAAAAAAATGATAAAGAAGATTATAATAATTGAGAAAAACAGATAGAAGTGCGTCAGGAACTTATATTGCTAATAAATCACCCCATGCTTAAAAAAGATGCGGATTATTTTTAAATAACTAAAAAAAATTATTTAATTATTACAAAATTTTTATAAAAATATCCATAATAAAGAAGAAAAAGAAAGGAATTTATAAAATACATGCAGTTTTTAGCACTGCATGTTGTGTATACTTTTTTATAGAACATTTTATTTTTCAGATAATTATGGCAACTTTACAAACCTAAAATTTATTTTAATCAAGTGAATTTTACTGAATTAGTTTATTAAATTTTATCATAGTTATTTACTATTAGGGCTGGTCAGAGGAAAAATGCCTTTTATTTTCATTTGACATCAGCCGTCTTATATAATATTTAATTTGGCACCAAAAGAAAAGTTACATCACATTTCTCTAACTATCACTTGTTGCTAAATCACATCCGATATAGCTGTAAAACAATGCAAATTACCTACTAATTGTTTACATTCGTCAATTGCAACACATACTCGCGGTTTTTCAACAAGATGTGGGTCAGCGCCGTGGTATATCTTGCTGGTCTTTCCCATATTATTATTATTACTGCAAGATCGCGTGTGTACGTTATAAACGCAGGACGTTTTGTGATTGGCAGCCAGTTTGAAAAGTTCCCAGGCTTTTTGAGTGGTGCACACAAAAATTATGCCGAGGAAAAAGATACTCGGCAAGGACGAAGTGATGCTGGAAATTGCCAAATTCTACTTAATACAAAGATGAAATTAATAACTCATTCCCACTCTAAAAGAATATCTCGTATGAAAATAAGGACGCGACGACCGTGACGAAGATTAGATTGAAATAATAGTGCTGGCAAAACTAACACGAGTGTAATACAAGCAGCATAAAATAACAGCTCGTCTAGCGAAAAATTATTTAGTGTTGCAGCAATCGGATCCATTGTTAATGATAATGTGCCTCGCAGAAATGGTTAGACAAAACACTTTTTTAAAATAATGTTTGGAGGCTACTCTTCCCTGCTTTTGTAACTAAATTTTCAAGTTATATTTTTTTATTAAAAATTTTATTGGACTATGTTTATTTTAATAATTATTATTAATATTATTATTCAAGGATTTAACCATTTTTTATTATTAATAATCGTTAATATAATTTAAATATTATTTTAACCACATTTAACTGTACCATTTGTTTGTTATTTAACAATTTGCTTGTAACCTCAGTTAATTATAACAGTAAAAATATAAATTGCTCTTCTCATTTCAAAATAGACAATTTTGTATACAATATTTTTATAACTTGTAAAACGTCTTTGAAGTACCACTATCAGAAAATTTCGTCGCATTGAATATTCTGAAAATATGACACACTGATGAGCACTAGGATTATAAATAAATATTTAAAATCCGATAATTTTCGTAAAAATGCAAGGTATAAATTCCAATTCAGCGAAGTTTCGTAAAGAACTCTAAAACTGAAATTTGAAACAGACGAGGGAGAAAAATCAATGTTAAGAAGGCCAAACGAAATGTCAGAGTTTCAAATCTAAGTAAGAGATTTAGAATTTCAAATCTCTCAAGACAGAATTTTTCATATATTAGTTTTTGGAGTTTAAACCATACAAATTATGGCTCAATCGCAACCAAAAATACACAACTCACAAAATAAAATATTTATAAATTATCTATCCTGTAAATTAATGTGGATTCTGCACTTTAATTTAAATCATTTCATAAAAATACTTTTGGTCAAGTTTTTCTGTAAATGTTTACAAACATTTTCTCAATTTAAGTGTTGGGTCAGACAAAAGCATGGAAACTTTTTGGTCGCGTTTTTTGTTCACTTTATTTTCCTTTCTCATTTTACACCAAAAGTAAAAGCTGCATTCCGAGTTATTTACATTGTCTTTTTTGGGCCTGCCGGTGACCCAGCCAGCAGCCGTTCGTCGGTCACGCCCGTGAACAATCGAAATAAAAAGCACCTTGAACGAATCACCGACAATTTAATCGCACGCGCCGATTGCGAGTCAAAGTCATTCCGATCTGATTGCGTTTTTCACTTTTTAAATATTCACGCGCAAACAGGTTTGTGTAAATATATTTTATAAAAGATCTCTCTGCCGCGTGGAGAAAGAAAGCAGATATATTGGCTAATTTATTGTCTGCCGAGATGCAAAAGCGGCCAATTAACGCCTGCTGCTAACGGAAGCTCTTTCAATTACGCTCTCCTTTGTTCAGGCGTCAATGACTTTGCAACAAATTTTTTATACTCCACCACTATTATTATTGCTTATTAGGGCTTATTTGTTTGCAAATTTCTCTAGCGAGTCAAAGATACACTGAATAAATAAAATAAAAAGTAATAATCAAAGCGTCGCCTCAGGGTGTCTGTCGTTGGGAAGGTATTTTATTTTTTATCGTTTTGGGAGAAAACACCGGACGCATGAATTGTTTCTTGATTAAAAAACGACTTTTAATTCATGGTTCTTTGAAAAAGCAGCTCTCTAATCCGTCCGCAGTTTGGGTCTAGTTTTCGCGGAAGTTGAGATGGTCAAATATTTGTATTCGAGAAATCAAACTCTCAAATATTAAATTTACAAATACAGTTCTAAAAGGATTACGCCATCAACAAGAAAAATTTATGTTAAAAATGCGTTATAACTTCAATTTCTACAAGTATAACTTTTTTTACCCAATTTTCAATTTTAGCTGTTAATGCGCCCCCCCCCCTTTTGTCCAATTATATTTTTTATATATACATTTAGCAGATTAATTGTAATTTCTTCTTATTGTATTCTGGTATCAAAAGATAAAAAATAATTACTATTTAAATGAATAAATTTCAATTAATTCATATAAAATAATTATTGTTTAATGTTTGCAAAGTCTAGATATTTTTTTTTTTTGTCTTTTTGTGCCCTTTTTTGAGCTTGCAGAAAGCTCCAATCTTACAACTATTTGGGTATTTGTTATTTTATTATTAATTTATAATTGAGTGCTCAAAGCTAAGGCAGTTTTATAGCTGTTGTTGTCACTAATTTTCACTAGAGTAGAAAATGGCTTTTTTTAAATGCAGCATATTAAATTTTATTAATTGAGAAATTGTGGCATTTAAAATTTACTTTTTAATTTGAAAAATTAAATGAGCCAAAATTTTATTTTATGTGAGGATATGGGAAAGAAATTGTGAGCACACATAATTGATCAAATAACCACATAAATTTAAATCTTCAACATATTTGTGTAGGCAACTGATTTGATGACCTTTCCATTAAACTTCAGGTTGAGCAAAAAGTGCAAAGTCGTGAATCGCGCGCTCGCTGATGAGAGCAATTAAAATTAAGAAAGTCCTTTCCATGCAGAGGTATTCCATGATAGATTATTATTGCTCTGGATAAAAGGCCAGCGAGTGAGAGTGACGCAAAATTTCATCTGATGCAAAACGCTTTTGTGAAATAATCAAATTGATCGTCCGCCCAAAGTAAAAAACTCCTTATTTTCTCCACGGCGCGTGGGTGCTGCTCCATATTTATCGCAGAGAGATGTGCGGGAGTTGAAATCTCCCGAGAGAAATCGCGGCGACGGCTAAATGGGCACGACGTGCACATTAATAATTGGAAACATGCGTCTCTCGTGGTTATTGGTTAATGGCGCAATTTTTTGGGTGATGAATTCGATCGCGGCCGAGAGCGTGCGCTTCTTGTTATAGGCGAGCTTCGTTGTAAATGTGTTTTGCAATTTTGCATTTTTCGTCGAGAGGGAGAGAGAGAATTGGGCGGTTGTAAAAATATTATATTGAAGATTGAAGCACGCCGGGCGCATATTATGCAACCGGAGGTCGTGACTTTCCTTTATGAGTTAGTTGCACTCGCATCAGAGATGTGCCTGATTTTGTCAGAGAAATCATAAATCTAATTTCATTCAGCCTCTATCCAATTAAATTTTTTTAATCCAATAATTCCTTATACAACACCACAGAGTTGATTGCATATTTTTTTTTAAATAATAATTTGCAAGAAATTTTTTCATATAATAAGTTAGCTATGATAATTTATTCTTTATTCAAATACGTTGAAATAACCTGGAAATAACGTCCTCCATCAAATCAATACATCAAAATCAAATTTAGAACTGAAGGTAAGATGGACAAATAACATGAAAAAATTAACTAGAGAAATAAATATAAATAATAAAAAAATAGTAGCAAACAGGACATGTGAACAATTGAAATCTGACCATCCGGAAATTATCTGAATTAAAAATTAAAACCATCTTTAACAATGGCTTGTTAATTCAACATTTCTCTGCAATAAATAAAAATAGTTAATTAAATTAGAGTTTCCAATTGAATGCTCTTTAAACCTTTCGATTGTTCAACTCTACATTGCAGGTGTGTTTTTCTTCTTTTGATATAAAATTAATTACTTTATTAAATTTATGCGATTAGGAAAGGAAACCAGTTCGATTAATCTTTATAGTACAATTTCCTGCTTGTCTTTGTGTTGGCAGCGAGCGTCTTTTCCGGACGATGGCCGACCTGGTCGTGTCCGAAGGCTACGCGGCCGTCGGCTACGAGTACGTCAACGTGGACGACTGTTGGCTGGACAAGGAGCGCGGCGCCAACGGCCAGCTGCAGCCCGACTACACGCGCTTTCCCAACGGCATGCGTGCTCTCTCCGACTACGTATGTAACTTTGAATTACATATTTTGTAAATTTAAAAAAATCATCCGTTCTGCATTCATCCGGTGCGATGGCAATAATTATAATTTTGTATTCGGAAATAACATCGAGAGTGGCTCGGCAAACTCGTTTCGCAATAAAAGAGTGTGATTTAACGACGCTCTTTCCTCCTGCAATTAGTCCACTTTAGATCGCCGAGTCGAGAGTTCGATCGTCAAGCCATCGAAAAGCTAGGCTGGCGACACTCTCAGTTTTATGTTTTTATATCACGTGTGTGCAATAAATTTCGCCAACGTAGAGCTATTTTTCTATAAAAAAAACTTGTATGCGCTATTAATTTAAAACCGTCAAAGGTATAACAAATTAAAAATTCAGGACTTTTTGAATAAAGAAAATAATTGAAGATTTGAATAAATCTCTATGTAGATTTATCATAATTTGACTTTAAAAATCCACATTATAAGAGTGCTGTTCTAAAATAATTTGATTATAGGGCTTGAGCAATTTCACAACAAAATAAAAAAAAAATTAATTGGGTGGTGCCTTCTGTACCACCAATAAAGGGCACAGGCCGACAAGACTTTGTCTTGGCCTGACCCTAAAAAAAAAAAAAAAAAAAAAACAACCAGTTTGAATATCAACTATTTTGAAGCAAACAATAAATGATTTTCTTTTACTTATATAATAATACGTTGGCCAGTATCATAAAAATATAAAAAGTGAAAGAAATAAAATCCTATTTTGGAATTTTCCACTTTTATAATTTGTGCTCGCTTTTATTGTTAGTTATATTTTTAATCACAATTTCTTATATGAAAATTGAAACCGGGCAAACCTTTGTTGCAAAGTAAAAATTAAAAAATAATGCTTATCATTTGATTAATAGGTGCATAATTTGGGCCTGAAATTCGGCATTTACGAGGACTACGGCAACTACACTTGCGCAGGATATCCGGGCATCCTCGGCTCGTTGGAGTTGGACGCGCAGACGTTCGCCTCTTGGAACGTGGACTTTGTCAAGCTGGACGGCTGCTACTCGCACCCCAAGGACATGGACCGAGGTGTGCATTTTAAGTTCACTTTCTTATTCACTTTACATGCGAACACAAAAATATAAATAAATCTCGTTCATCACGGGCGTGTGCCTTTTTCGATCAGGCAACTTTCATTTATCGGAGCAAACGAAAGCTACCTTGAGAGTGGAGCGTGGCGAATTATTATTTTTTGACATTGTTCCTTTTGTTACAGGATACCCTGAATTTGGGTTTTACCTCAACCGGACTGGCAGGCAGATGGTCTACTCGTGCAGTTGGCCCGTCTACCAAATCTACGCCGGAATGCAGGTGTGTAAAAAAAATTTAAAAAAGGAATTTGAAATTTTGCCTGCGGGTTTGTTTTGACAGGTTTAAAATTTGCAAAGTTCAAATTGAGTGATTGACGTTCGAAAGCGGCAATTTCTGCCAAATTTTTTATCTCTCTCTCCGCCGTCAGGCCGCAAGCACGCGCGGTTTTAAAATATGAGAGCGGCTACTGGTTTTCGCCTGATTTGGAGAGAAATTACGGTGCCTTAAAAGTGCCCCTCGAGTCAATTAACCTTAAACTCTGGTCCGGAACCAGCCAATGAGAACAAACATAAAATGAAAACGCATTGAGAATAAAAATTGAAACAAATAAATATATTATTGAAATTGAAATTTGACAGTTCAAATGCAAGAAAATTAAAAAAAAAAAAAATTATAAAAAGAATAAAAAGAGACATTTGACCCAGATTGTTTTCCCATTTTCCTTCTCTCATCACTTTTAGTTTTACTGGTTTTCTGTTTATTTATTTTTTCAAATGTTTGACATTTGCAAAGCATTAAAACTTTTTAATTTGTGTAATTTCTTACTTAATAAAAAAATAATTAAAAACAATTATTTGTAATTTTTTTCTTGTTAAATTTCTTAGCCAAATTTCTCATCAATCATTGAGCACTGCAACTTGTGGCGCAACTTTGACGACATCCAGGACTCTTGGGCCAGCGTCGAGAGCATCATTGATTATTACGGAGACAACCAGGACAACATAATTCCCAATGCTGGGCCTGGACACTGGAATGACCCTGACATGGTCTGTTATAAAATTTTGAAAATATTTACAGTTTGAATTTTAATTATTTCCCGTTAAGTTGATCATTGGAAACTTCGGTTTGAGTTACGAGCAAAGCAAGACGCAGATGGCGATTTGGGCCATTCTGGCGGCGCCGCTGCTCATGTCCGTCGACCTGAGAACCATCAGACCTGAGTACAAAGCCATCCTGCAGAACAAGGGTGTCATTGCTGTTGACCAGGATCCACTGGGAATTCAAGGACGCAGAATTTACAAGGTTTTTATAATTTATAATAAAAATAGAAATTTATTTTCATTTTGACAATACTCAAATTAATTTGTAAAATGAACTGATAGAACTGATTTTATTAATTTGAATATGATGAAATTTTTGTGTTTTTTTATTATCAATGAAAAATTTGTTTCAGAAAAGTGGAATAGAAATTTGGTCTCGACCAATTACGCCATTGTACCAAAACTACTTTTCGTATGCAGTTGCCTTCCTAAACAGAAGAACTGACGGCACCCCCTCTGATATTGCTGTCACCCTTCAAGAGCTCGGCCTTGCTTACCCTGGTGGATATGCAGTTGAGGTATTTGTCTGAGAATTTTAAATTCTAAATTTATTTGGATTTAATCCTTTATTTCAAGAAAATAAAAAAGGTTTTATAAAAATTTAATTGCGCACTATAGGCTATAGTAAATGTAAATTTAGAATTTTTTCCATTAACTTTTAACAAAATTTTATTTTGATTTGTATTTTTTGTAGGACTTGTTTGAAGAGGTTAGTTATGGAGTTTTATCACCTGAGACGAAAATCAAAGTCAAAGTTAACCCATCAGGTGAGTGATAGAAATTGACTTTCGAGATTTTAATTAAAATTAATAATTCAGGAGTTGTGATTCTGAGGGCAAACATTCACTTGCCGCGCTTCCAGTCACGCAGCCAGAAAACTATCTACGATCCATATCAGCACGTCTTCCAATCCACAGCGAGACCTGAATTCTAATTTTTTAAACAATCAGCAGGTATACAATCTATTTTGTCTTATCTTTGCGTCGTGACTAATATTATTTTTTGCGTGATTAGACTGTGATAGAGGAACCTCAGCGGAGTCAAGAAAGGCACCAAGAAGGATTCTATACAATTTACAATTTACACCTGTCAAAGTTACCAGCGGTGAAAATAATGCGAGATAATGTGACTCTCTAAGCTATTAATTTAAAATTGAAAATTTTGTGTAGTTTTTTTTTAGTTCCTAAGGAAAATTGAATGTAAATTTGAAAATTTATATTTAAACAGATGAATTAGATTGAAAAAAAAATTTATTGTTGCTGTTAATGATTTAAATGATGATGCAATTTTGTGTGTAAAATGTAACATTTTTAATTTTATTTTTAACAGTTTATTGTGACCCTTTTAATTGTAAATATGACTAGTTTTGTATAAAAAAATGACTCGTTTTGCTTTTCCGCTTATTTGATTATTTTTTATACAAAAATCAAAATTACCTGTTTTAGAATTAAAAAAAAAATGTTTTATGTGTATAGAAATAAATTTAAAAATATAATTATTAAAAAAATTCTCTTGCTTTTCCTCATGAAGATATCTTTCTTCCAAAAACCATGATTCAATTCGATTGATTGAATAAATTTCATGCAATAAAAGGGATAAAAGGTATTCAAAGATTTTTATTAAAAACTTATTGCTAGGAGAATCCTGGACAGTTGGCAGTTTTGACATGAGTTTGTTACCAAGTGACGTCACTCACCATGTGACCGCATGATTATATTTATTTTGAAAGAACAAAAAAAATAAGTGAGTCACTCTCGTAATCTGATGCATGGTAAGACTTTTACAAACGAAACCACTAGAAAATCATAATTCGAGCGTGCAAGACTCGGGAGTTCTGCGAACGCAGTTGAGTAAAAGGCAAGAGTCCATCGAGCAGAAAATTATACGGACACGGACGCTGACACAGAGCAGCTCACTCTCGGGACCAGTTTTTCGAAGGGAGAAGAATGGCAGCTCCGGAGAAATCAGGGTCCTCCAGCTCTTCACCGGCGACCGCCAAAAACTACGCTTATTTCAAGAAGCTGCACGACGCGGCCTTCAGACTTGTGGAAAATGGCATTGAGCTTGAACAGGATGGACGAACGCAGGAGGTGAAAATTTATAAATTTTCCACCAATATCATATTATTATAATGACTGTGCAATAATTTTAGGCTGTTTCGTCATACGAGAGTGGCTTGGGACTAATTGACAAGGCCCTGGAAATCTACATTGAGAGTGACTCCAATCCCCAGTGGGACACATACTTTGAGCAGATCGTCAAGATGAAAAATGCCAAGTATTTTTTTTTTTAAATTTTAAATTCGCTTTATAATTTTTTATATTTTTTTTTGCAATATCAGAAAAGATGTCCAGAGTCGTTTGGCCACTCTTCAACGCCCTCCAGCTGCTCTGAATGGTGGCAACAACCTTGACCTGCAGTTGCCAGCCGACCCACCATCTTATGAAGAAGCAACAAGTCCAACGTCGCCCTACGCCACCGTCAGCCATGCCCTCAACCAGATTAGGATGGACAATGCCATTCCAGATAATGATGTCCTGTACAGGCAGGATGGCGTCCGAATGTACTTCATAGCACCTGACGGCAATGTCAGCTCTTTGTCGGAACCTCTTCCTCTCACCATTGCTCAAGTTCAAGGTTGGAAAAGCATTTTATTCTTAAATAACCAGCAATTTATTATTATAATTATCAGAGGATTTGAATTTTAACTACTTTTATTTTAACAGTGTCAGTTGAATTTCCTAAGAATTTATATTTTTATAAAATTCAGATTCTATTCTAAAGAAAGGATTAAATTTTTTTAATTTTAAAAATTATAACCATAAAAAAAATCAGTTCCAGAGGACATTATTCAATTTTTATTAAAAAAAATAATCCCTCTTTTTAAAATGTATTAATTTTACTTTATTTTCTTTTTCCTTTACAAATTACCTCCAACTTGTTATTTTCAGCTGAAAATGAAATCGCACCCACCTACTACATGCACATCGGCAGCTGGGTTTACCCTTTAGTGCCAGGTGTGTCTCCCATGCTTCACTCCAAGTCCGGCGCCTTGATCATTCCCGACCTCCAAGCTTCGGTCCCAGGTTCGATTCCCCATTGCTTGAGCCGCGATCCGAATTTTTTCCAATTCCAAACTCGCTCCCCAGGTTCCACAGTAGGGCTAATTTTACCCGAGGACGCTGACGGCTCCGTTTTGGAGATCCTGGACGACCTCCTCCAGGGCATTTTGCAGCCCCAACCCACTGGGGTACCCCCACCTCCCATTCCGGAAGCTGGCCCTGCTGCGGACAGGGTCAGTCAGCGAATCTCACAGGGAATCGTCACTGGAGCCCAGTATCTCTCATTCGGACTGGTCAAGGGAGCCGAATATGCCGGCAGTCTTCTCAACAAGGGCACACCTGTGCTCATCCAGCACCTCCAGCCAGCCAATGAACCCAAACCGGTGTCCCGTAATGTGAAGAAGAGTCTCAAAGTGGCCAGGGATGTCACAGGAACTGCAGTCACTGTCACAAGTTACATTGGTAATTAATTAAAAAATTTATTGTGTTTAAATTAAGAATTAATTTTAACTATTTTCCAGCCGGCAAAGTTGGCGCCGCCACCATGTCTCTTGGCCGCTTTTTAGCACCTCATGTGCAAGCCCAGGGTACTAAACTTCTCACCAGCATGTCTGGACTCTCAGAAAACGAAGCCAGTAGCAGAATGGAAGGTGCACTTGAGGTAACAGCTGGCGCCGTCCATGGGTTTACCACGGTCTATGGAGCTTTGGAAAACGCTGCCACCATTCTTGCCAAAAACCTTGCCGACAACACTGTTCAGGTGGTCCAGCACAAGTAAGACTCACACAACTAAAAATACAGATCTTTTTATAATTTTTTCACCGAAGATATGGTCCGCAAGCGGGAGAGGTCGCTGAAGACACTTTGGCCACCGTGGGAAATGCAGTCGTTGCTGGACATACAGCCCAAGCTTTTACTGTCAAGGGAATCGCCAAGAAGACGGCCAAGAATGCAGGAAAGGCGTTGGTTGAGGATTACCAGGTCAAGGTGGCTCAAGAGGCTAAAGAGGACGAAGACGAGGGAGAGGAAAAAGACAAGAACAAAGCAGGACCATCCAAGAACTGATAATTAGCAATTTTTTAGGAAAAGTTTGTCTAATGCAACTATGTATGAAATTATGTGATGTTAATCAAGGGTGTCTACTATGTGATCAAGTCGAGATATATAAAGTAACTTTTGCCGCACGACATTCATGGAACTGAATCTATGTCTATGTAATTTATAATATTATGAAAGCAGTTTTTTAGTGTTTTTTAGTTGCACTCTGTTTAACAGAAGATCCATTTGCAGTTGTTCCTCAGCTTCTCGTTGCAAGAAATAAAAGAATTTCATTTTAAAACCAAGATTGGATTTATTTTATTTTTAAACTGCAAATTTATACGTTAAATTGCACATGAGCTTGATAAATATACCAAAACTATGGAAGAAAAATGCAACTAGTTTGACACAGTGGTCGATCGATTAGTATTTGAGGAGACCTTAAAAGCTACATCAGGCTGATACAAATGCACTCTAGCATGGGTTAGGATGAGGAGAGTTTTCTTTTTAACGCAAACAATTTCATAATGTACAAAATCGGAATAAATAATAATAACTATACAGGAAAAGGAAATGCTTGTCGAAAGATGACTTCTTTGTTTTACTGGGGCTGGCTTTGGCTGCTGCTCCTCATGTAGTCAGCTCGATGGTAGTGGGCGTGAGAGGAGGCCATCGAGGGATGCATTGGCGGGGGGAAGCAGCGGACATGCTCCACCGCCTGCGTTTCAGTGTCTCCTGAACGCATGTACTTGTTCAGAATAGCAAAGATTTGAGAGTTTAGCACCTGGAAACGGCGAATTCGGTCCACCATTTTCTTCAGTTGCTGCAGATAAGAAAATTTGATCAAAATCTGTCATTTTAAATGATCATTCAAAGCTTACAATGCCTTTGACCAACTCATCTTTTCCATCAACTCGTTGCACTCGAAGAATGTGATAGCAGAAGTCGAGCGCTTCGAAACGCCTCTGCTGACCCAGAAGCATCAGAATTGTGCAGCCAGCCCAGTTTAGGCCTTCGCCAAACAATTCCCTTCAAGAAGAAATAAATAGATCAGTATTTATTTAAAAAGGGCAAATTAGTTGCAACACTTACTCAACCGTAAATTCTGTTCCACCAACGGGAATACAGTAGACAAACTGTAGCGCAGACCACAGCCTGTGGAATTCTGTGCATTCGTCAACGTTCATGACCCCATTTGTAGGCGGAGGCCCTACCCAGATTGGGTCATCCAGGAAAGACCGCAAGCGGTTCAGAACCACTTCAAAAATGGACAGTCCACAGCAGAGCCTCTCTCGGGTTAGTAAATCACCTTCTCTAGCTATCATTGCTTGCTAAAATGAATAAATAAGATGATCAAAATTTTGCAGATTCCCAGAAATCTTATGGTGTTGGTTTTGTTAGGAGAGTTTCTAAGTTGTAATGTTTTATTGAAATTTTGATAAAAGATTAATTCAAATTACCTTGACACTGCCAAGCTTCTCGATGTTATTGACTATTTGCAGGGCTGCATATTTCTCTTCCAGCCTCTTCATTTTGGTTTCGTGTTTTTCACCCTCTGAATAATGAAACTTAAAATTTTATGTACTTAAATAGAATAAAAGAAATACCTTTGACGTGAGGTCTTGGCAAGAAGTTTTGGAAGGGAGCCGCATGCAGCAGATCGCACACCTCCTCCTGCGACAAAGCCTGTTCCATCAGCATGCAGAACAGAATGGTGTTGCCGATTTCTCGGAAAATGTGGAACAACTCTGTTCTCGCATCCGGATACATGACTATGTCATTCAGCTGAGCATGATAGTATCCAAGTACACCTGATTGAGGATTTCAAATTCAGAATGGTTGGTTTCACTCGTTGGATAGGGGAAATAATAATTACCAGGAGACCCGTAGTCGTATCTGGGCAATTTGCAGAGCTTTGGCATTGCTTCCATTAAAGTTTTTGTAAATTGTAGAAGATTGCCCTGAATCAGACTCTTGACGATTTTCAGAAGTTCCTCCATTACTACCGCTACACCCTGATAGCCTAGCAATTTGCACATCATGCGGAAGTGGTGAGGACCAACAAATCCTGAAACAAAAACAATTTATTTTAACTTAAAAAACCATCTGGCTATCACAATTAGATATCATAATAAAGATTTTTTCAACCCAAAATATTTATGTTCTTCTGATCAACGTACCTCCTGAGCGGCTATAAATAGTGCTGTAAGCAAGACTGAGCTGCTTGCTGCCCCACAAGTAGTTGTGGCCCATCTGTGGCGGTTTGTCTCTATGCACTGGCTGAGCAAAGCTCAACCCTCTTGCCTTCACAAATCTACACAAAAGAACAATTAAAAAAATGTTTACAATAATTTTCCCTTTCATAAAATTATACCTGTTAGTGGCTGCATTGTAGCAATAATTTGGAAGGAAGTCGTAATTTAGTTCCCAGAAAATGTGCAGAGTGATACGGCCATAGGGTGCAAGCACGCTGTGATTAGCTTCGCGGAACATGGCATCGTAGTTGTCGAGCGCCAAGTGCTTTGATAGGAGTTTGTGGCACAGACGATTCACTTGCAGCAAACCCTCTAACTCCTGGAAATTAAATTATCCTGTTAATGTTTTTTATTTTTTTATTAAATTTGAATAAATTTACCACTACTCCGGTTATGTCTCCAGCCTCGAACTTGCTCAGGGCCAGATCGAGGGACTTCTGCATGTCAGCGTTGATTCTCTGAGTGATAAGTTTGTTCAAGTCAATGGACCTGCCCAGAAGCTGCACATGCCTTTGCTTGAGCAGAGTCTCGTATCTGTTGGCGCGAGGGAAAGGCAGCAAATAGGTGCCTAGAGCTATGCACTCAACTCGGAACCGTTTGTCAAGCAAAATGCTGAATATAAATTGTTTTAATTGAAGTGTTAAATTTAATGTAATTAGTTTCTTTTACCTGGCAGCCAGTTGCTTGTAATGAGAGAAGATCTGCTCACTGAGTTTGTAGACAAACTGGTCAAAGCACAAATTTACTTCAGCCTCAACTTCATCGTACAAGAATTGCTTTCGGAAAACTGTAAGTGCGTAGTGAGCACTATCGTTGTACAGATCTAGAGGATACAAGACGTATCTGCGGATAAAATTTAGTTAAATGTGCACATTGGTCAATTAAGAAGTCTTACTCCATAGTGGAAGGATCTTTCGTTTTCAGAATGTGATCAGTTAAGATCCATGGCATTGACATCTCGATGGGAAACTGTAACAGGAATCCCAAATTACAAACCGATTATTCACATACACAAGCCGTTACTTGCTCATGCTTTAATTAAAAACAAAATTTACAATATAAATTACAAGTAATAACACTTTTTGGATTTATACAGTTTGTTGAATTTAAGAATACTTTTTTATAAAAGAATACTTCAGGCGAGCACAAAAGCATGCAAAACACAGAACACACAAAAGCAGAAAGTAGGCAAAACATTTCTTAATTCTTTGAATTACAACAAGTGACACTTCAAATGTATTACACAGCTTGATTAAAAGTTAGTTATTTTCATCAATGAATGAGTGCTTTTATCTAATTCTAAATATAATGAGTGGTGCATCTAGACATGTTACCAATTAATAGGTGCAGCGTTCTTATTGAATAATTAAAAAAAAAATTAACTCAGAGCAGGTCCTGGGTAAACAAGTACCTGTATGCGCTTCTCCATGGTGATGAGGTCACTGCATTCCTCATTATGTTGGTGCCGAACCGTGCATTTCTGTATGGACAAGACAAAACGCATTTTGGTTCTCCTGTTATATACGACTTCAATTCTCTTTTAGATTTTTCTGCCTTATAGACACACCATCATGCGCAGGGCTTTTGCTTTTTTCTCATCTATCATTTCTAAGCAAGCTTGACGGACCCCAGAAAGCTTTTTATTTAAAATTCTAACCTTCCCTGATAAATAATATGAATTTCCGAGGAACGGGCGAATATGTTCGAGACATAATAATGCGCAGCATGATCAGAGTTAATTGACGAGTCTTGTAAGCCAAAGCAAAGAGCGAATTCAAGAAGAAACAGCTCTGAAATCCTATACCAGCTCACCTGAATTCTCCGGCCCATTGTCATCTCGAGATAAAACTCTCGGTACCACAGTTGCGACAAGTCACAACAGTCGTGCAAGGATTCTGTATAAAACATTATCATTTATTTGAATTTAAAACTAGAAATAACATGAAATATCTACCAGAGAATCGCAGCAAGTAGTTCCAGTAGAAGGAGGTTTTGTGAAACTGGTCAATCTGGACCAGATACTGGCCATCGATGTCCTTTCTCAGAGTTCTCTTTCCGCCGGACTTGTCAGCAATCAATGATTCAAGCATCGTCCTAACCATGTAAAGTTGTGTCGAAGAAGGACCTATTCCAATATTATGATATTAATTAATGATTAATATATAACCCTTCTCATTCAAACATGCTTTTTCAAAATTATAACATCCACAAAATGGTTTTTTTGCAAGTCTTATGGTTTACAATCAGGTTCGCAAAAAAAAAATAGGTATACGGCTGAGAAAATCGCATTCTCAGGCTGTTCAACAACGTAGTGCACACTGTTTCAGTGCACCAGTGAATTTTTTTCTCAACCAACACTAGAGGAAATTTCAATCAAGGTTGTATGTTTGTCCGCCACCTGGATAGAGAAGAAAGTGAGGGAGTGCCTGCGACAGTCAAAGTGCCAATAGTATTTTTATGTTTGCTCCAAATATAACTACGAGAAACTCAGCCAAACCGCTAGAGCGCTACGACAAACCTGTTCTCCTACTACGAATCCCCTTTGCCGAAACCTCCTCAACACCTTTAAGCAAGAAGAATGCAAGCGTCAAAGTGCCGTGTCCACAGCGAGTGCTTCGTTCATTTGAATGTTAACCTTACAAGCTAAGCCACCAAAAAGAAAACCACTGGCCAACAACATACCAACATTCCTCCTCGGAACTTTGATGCCAAAATTCTCAGGATCTTTCTTGCCCTTCATTGCAGGGTCGGACGAGGGTTCCATTCCTCTCTGCCAGTCGGCACAGGTTTCTCGAACGGAGACAATAATGCTAGAACATAAAATTTGTACTTCTTTAATAAACCTAATTAATTATATCCTGATTTTCAATGAAATTTTTCTTTAAAGCTATTTAAATTAAAATAGCTGTAAATACTGACCTTCTGATAAGATCCTTCTTGTTTTTTATAGCCTTTCTCAAAGGCTCCCTAAGAAAGAGCTGAACAAAGTCTTGCAACTCGGCATAAATGTTCCTCCTGATAGCATCTGCAAATACTGTCTCCATGCGAGCCATCAGCACTTGCAGCCCCTTAATCATAGCGATCACTTCAATCAGGGCAAATTTCTCCTCTTCAGAATAATTATATCTCGTTGCCTGTTTATGTTTTTAGAATTTATTAAAACTAAATAAAGAGTGGGTTTTATAAACAACATACCCTTTCATACTCTTCAGCCTCAGCTGGACACTCCTTGTTCATGTGGTGGTCAGTGGGGTGCAGCAACTTCCAAGAGTACAACTCTGTGACAACAGTTGTCCACTCCGACAGCAGCTGCAGTCCCCTCAAGGCCAGATCTGCTGTGTCCCTATTTTCAGCATCACTGCGAGACTCCTTGAAGGTCGTTGTGACCTCATTGCTGTAGCGGGCCAGTTCACTGATGTACTTAACATGGTCTTCCCGGATTTGAGGCAGATGCTGCATCAGGTCCGCCTGGGGGCTGATCAGAGTGGAGCTAGACAGGGGCCACTTGGAGGCGTCATAGTGTTTGCTTCGCTTGATGTAGTTGAACGGAGCAATCTGCATGTCACCAAAGAGAGGAACCACTTCCAAATTCTAAAATTATTATTAAAAATTATAAAACTAAATGTAATTTATCATCGAATTGAGCACTTACTTTAAAAATGCGATCGATTTTCTCCAGTTTGATTTTCTTCTTTTGGTCAAGTTTGTTGATGTTGCATAGTTCGCTGTCTACCAGGAAGAGCCCGAATCCCATGACCTTGACCAACATGTGTTTCTCAGATGGGGTCAGATACATGCGTGTCTCGAACATGTGAACACAAATGTTGACCACATCGCACAACAAGTCCTCATAGCCCTGAATTCGCTCCAGAGTCTCTTTCACGGTGTCCCGAATTTTGTTCTGTGTTGCCAAAAACATGGACAAGTTCTGCGACTCCTGCAGAGTCTGAGAGTCGGCCATCACCTTCAAAAATTGGGCAGCTCTAGAATATGATTAAAAATTTATTACTCCGTATAGAAAAAAAAATATTTTTTTACCTTCTGTAGGTTGAATAGTCGTTTTTGACACTAGACTTCATGTTCTTCAACTCATCCAAGATGGCGAACATGTTGATGAACTTGCCCAAGGTCAGCAAGTAAGCCTCAGACACAAAGTCCTTCCTCTTTTCAGAGTGGCACAGTCTTTTAACCTCGGCTGAAAATCTGTCAATGGCGCGACGCTGAAAGTTTTAAAAATAGTTATCAAGCTTGTTATGCGCAAAAAAAAACTAAATACTTGGAAATGCATGAAATTGAGCAGTTTGTTCACTTCTGGGGCCAAAACCTCAACAGTTTTCTCATAAATCTCCACTCGATTGGGCTGTTCATTGGACTTTGGCTGCGGGATGGCTCTCGAGCAGCAGCGCCAGGTGTAAAGCATGACGGCGTGCTGAACACCTTCCTCAAGCAGCTCATTCTGAAACCGGACACCACTCATTGTAAAGAAGCCACTTCTCAGTGTCAAATTTCAATCAGATCGTACCAAATTAGCGTGCACCGTGGCCTCTTCAATGTACTTTGCGATGCCGGTGACAAAACCGTTTCGATCCTCAAAGTTGGTGTCGAAATTTGCTTGGTAGACAACCGAGCAAGGCTGGGCTTCAATGCATGGCTGCTCGTCCGGAAGGGTCAGTTCGTCCAGCACGTCCACGTTGGACAGCGCATCCGCCAAAGTCACCTTTTCGGTCGACATTGCGCTGAAAAGATAAAACTTTTTTAAGTTTTTAAGTGCGTTAATGGAGTCAATTATCTAAAGCGGCTCCCTAGGGAAATATGAACCCATGGGGCCACGGCTACATCCTGCCTTGAACTTTAGATGCAAATTTGTCGGTGAATTCAGTTTAAAAAACACAAACCTTTGGAATTTTCAGCAGCTGGGTGGTAGACTGAAAGCTTTATAGATAAAATAGTCGCATGGCGCGACTTTTTCCGGGAAAAAACACAAAAAACCGGAGCTGTCAAACAAGCCAAGGGTGTGCCTGTTTGTTTTCGTGATCGCTACGTCACGACTGGTCACGACACCAGCGCCACCAATCCATTCATTCCATTCTTGCAAAACATAAAAACAAACCGGTTTCTGAAAAAACGATTATTGAATTCTTCTATCGACCATTTTAAAACTTATTTAGCCTCAAATTGTTATAAAATAATATTTATGGCATTGATTATTAGGGTTAATGAAATTTAAAGTGACTTTTTCTTGATATCTCCTTCATTTTACAATCTATATAACCGGTTCTATAAACAAATTAACCGGTTATTTGTATATTTAAACCGGCTGATGAAAGCAATGAAAATTTGTGAAAAACACGCTGCCGACAAATACATCGCTCTAGTAAATTTTCACAAATTTGACTGCTTAGTCTTCAAATATGTCGGATTCTTTTGGTGATATTTCAAGTTCAAACTTCGGCACGACTCCTGGTGTCAGCGGCAACGCCGACCTTCAAGAATTCGTCGAGAAAGAGCAACAAAGGGCGCAGTTCAGTGCTCAGGTAAAATTAGTGCCAACTAGAAAATTCTTCAAATTCAAATTTATGTATCAGTTTTGTATTTTATATTATTTTCTTTTCTAAACAGGTCCACAACTTCAATGATATCTGTTGGGACAAGTGCGTTGAGAAGGTCGGGACAAAGCTGGACAGCCGCTCCGAGACGTGTCTGGTCAACTGCGTGGACAGGTTTATCGACGTCTCTCTTTTTATCACCAACAGATTCGCACAGCTTCTGCAGAAGAGCGGTGGTGGAATGTGAAATTTCACAAATGGAACGAACGTGATTTGTTTTAAGCGGACTATAGTCAATTTAATGCGAGATCTTTAAATACATGTCATTGGATTGGTGGAAGAGATCAAGGTCCTGGCCGGAAAATCAATTTCATTCCTCAGGATTTCCGAGACAGAACCTGGTTGTTTCACTTAAGAGTTTTGGTGTTGTTTAAAAAGTTGGAATATATGTCAGTTATTCTGAATTAAACAAAAACATCTAATTGACTTTTCATGAATTTTTTATTTCCATCCGTGAGAACATAATTGTTTTGTGTGTGAGGTTGGTAAATTAAGTAGAGCTGAAAAACACCAGGGGACATGAAAAAGGGGCAACGAACGCCAGAGGTTCAAGGACAAAATCTGATAAAAATGATCATGAGTTGGAGTGAGCGATTAAAAATTAATAATTAAAATTCTAGAATACAAAAAAAACTTGACCGCATCTTAACATTACGAACTGAAAGATCAACGATCGGCTCACACTCACAAGGACATTGATTTTTACGAAACATTGATTTTTTTTTCATCATCACCATCGAATAATTAGCGTGCAAATTGCGTGTATGATTCCTCTACTCAGCCTATAATATTAATTGTTTTTTTAATCATTTTTATTATTTTTCCTGCTGAGGAATAGAAAAAACGGCAAGGTGTGTGATGCGAATGAGTGCGGTTTTTGCTCTTTACATTCAATTCATGCGTGCTGATTGTATTTATGTGTTTTTTTGTATGGGGGTTTTTTTTGTTGTTGTTGCTCAATGAGGGCCGCAGTAGCTCTTCATCTCGTTAATGGAACAGCTCTTGAGGCAGCATTCGTCAACGATGCCGCGCGGCTTGCGACGCACTCGCCGGTTCGAGGGCATCAACTGTGTCGCCTCAGCGCGTGAACGGAACGGGAAGTTGCTGCTCAATTCGTCCTGCCAGTAGTCTTGAGGATCTGAAATGGCAAAATTCATTAAAAAACTTAAAAAATAAGATAATTTTATCTTTGATAATTACTTAAGTATTTGATTTTTGCTAGAAACAATTTTGCACACATCGAATAAATAAATATTAAATGAAATCCTCAAACGCACTAAACCTATACTTTTTTTTTAATATTTAAATGCCCTAAAAATCCTATAGGTATCATTGAGCCAGAAACCGCACAGAGTTTGAAACAGAAAATCATAAAATCAAAGTATTTTTTAAAAAATGTATGTGTGATTTTGAGGAAGTTTTTATTTTCAATTGAGTTTTGAGTTGTCCAAAGTCCAAAAGACATTAAGAAATATAGTAAAGACATAAAAAAAGCATCAGTGATATTTAATTGATGTGAAATTTTTCCTTATAATGTACCCTTTGATCACTTTAAAAGTTTTTTTTTTATTTTGCATAATTTAATTTATATATCCAATCTATTTTAACAAGAATAGTTATGATTTAAATAGCTCTAATATATTTTTTTAATGATATTAGCCTTCGATACTTTTTGCTTTCATGTGACCTGCAATTTAAAATAAATACGACTAATTTTTTTAATTAATCTCAACAAAAATAAATAATAAGAATATTTTGTTTTAAAAATTTCTTTCATCAAATATTGATATTGAAAAACAACTTGCCAATTCCAGTATTATCTTATTGTCCCGTTTTAGTTTGAATGCAATAACAACCCAACGAGGAAAAGCGTCGCAGTATATATTTATATAATGGCGCAATGTCAATGCCTCCGATCCAGTGCTCTCAATCGGCTTGCTCTCTGTTGGATGCCCTCACGCACAAACCCTGACCTACGACTCTCGTGTGTCGTGCATTTATTTTTAAATAATCCACAAACGTCCGTACCCCATTAAAAAAGTACGCCTCATCAAGTGCTTCATAATAGAATACAAATTTTTTAATTTTTTTTATTATTATGATTTTTTTATCAAACCCACAGTTTTTTAATGAAAATAAATAATAATAATAATTACCTGGCACGGATTTCTTACTCCATGTCCCAGGATTAAAGAACACGCCGTCGCAGACTAAGTGCAGTGCGTTGGCTAGATGCTTGCCGCAGTATTTGTTGTTAGCCCCTCTTTTGGACTCGATTTGAAAAAGATCTGTAACAAAAATTATTAGACATTCCAGAAAATTCTAGTCAAAGATAAACGCTATCTTTTTTAGGCAGATAATGTAGCGAGGGTCACATGAATTTTATAACTTAAAACTTGATATTCGCGAGTCGCGTAAAAAAATTAGTTTAATTCACGCTTGAATTTGCAACTTTATTATGTTATATATATTTTTTTTTTTTCAATTAGAGAAATCAATCCATATTTTCAACAAATGGTGAATTTCTTATTTTCATGGAAATGTTATGTTAATCTGGAATTATGCGGAATTATGTAATTTAAAAAGGGCAAAAATTGCTGCTTGTTAATTTTTGTAATCCCTATTTATTTATTTATTTTGGATTTAATAATTTGCCAGTTCCCTTGCTACATTTAGTTTGATGTTTCAAATTAAATTAAGGATAGGAGTTTCATGCACTACAGAGTCTACTTTGTTATTTTTTTCCATGCCAATGAGTAAAATTATTTATCCTATGAGAATAAGATTCGATTCAGAATTGTTAATTTTTTTATAAAATAAGAATTTGATCAAGTAGTAAATCCTGTGGTGCACTGTACCCCGCCTTATTCGTCTCGAGTTACCGTCCAGCGAGGATGCGTACGAGTTGATGTCGTCGAAGTCCTGCACGCCGGCCGGAAGCGCCTCGCTCGCGTCGGGCACCAGCTGCGTGCAGAGGGCCACGGCGGCCAGTGCTCGCACCATCGAGATCCACATCTGCAAAAAATAAGAGCAAGCCGAATTAGTAAAAGTGCTTAATTATACTGTGCTGCGTGTTTAAATTAGAATTTACATCTTTTCGCTCATGGCGATTCTCGGAAGGGTTTGGGGAAAAACACATAAACACAGTCTTTGTATTATTAGCAAAATTAATTGGCTCACTTACAGACAGGCGCCTGTAATTGAGGAAATGCCGGCATACCAACCGCTCTCATTTCACTGTTTTTATATTAATTATAGCTCTTCTTGACTTGGAAATCGGGGAAGTATAAGGAAAATTACTTATATTAATATTCACTTTTTCTCAAAAACTAGCAATCTAAATTTTTTTTATTTATAATATCGACTTTTTAACAATCTTTATTATATAAAATTAAGACTCTGACAAATGAAAATAAGTAAGTTAAAATTTGAAAAATAATAATCATAGCAAACGAAATCAAATTGAAAGAAATTATAATTGGAATTATTTTTTATAAAAAATAGAAAAATATGCGGAATAAATGGTATTACGTAACTATGCACGATGAAAATCAATAATAATTTATCTCCTCTTATCATCATCCTATACAATAGACATTGTTCACTTGGGTAGGTATTAATCAAGTGTAAAAAGGAAATATTATTCATAATGATAAAGTACAATGCGTATTCAATCTTATGCAATTATTTACTGAAGAAATTTAAAATTAATCACCATATTATTTTTAAAAAAAAATAACTAAATTTTACATTTCTGAAAACTTCAAACTGGCGGATTTCCCACGATTCTGATTTTCCTCTTACCCCTTTCATACCATACTAATTATCTCGGTGTTTTTGTGAGATAAACAAGAAGTGAAGAGATACATGACCGACCGTGTGTCATTTATTTTTTGATACACTTCGACCTCATCTCATCACAATCAACGCTTGTAATCGAGCCAGCGCAGCTTTTTGTATGTCACGTTTGTTTTATTTCAGAACATTATTTATTTCCCATCTGGTCGTCGTACTCCGTATCAACCTTTGCCTCTGTTTTTGGACATTTTTCACCCGAGATCCTGATGCAGTTACAAAAATAGAGAAAGACGGAGCGTTTTTATTCCGTCTGTATACCATTGTAAGGAGAAAAAATTGTTTTCAAAACGAATATGTCTTTGAGGTCGCACGCGCGCTTTATATATTCTCATTAGGCGTAGGGAAAATATGGTGAGTGCAATTTTCTAACCCGAATTGCACACATCGCACGAGGCGCGTCTCTCTATATAATAGAGTTTAGCTGGGTTTCTGGGTCAAGTTTTGCTCTTGAGTAACTGGCGACGGACGGGGCACACAATAATATCATATTATATGAGGGTCGTACTGTGGAAAAGCGGCTTTTATGTAATGCGTCGGGGAAAACACTTTGCATGTCCGGTTCGGCTTTTATGTGGGCAAATCGATTTTCAGCGCCAAATGTGCAAATCGTAATGATTTGTTTGGCGATGAACAGGTGCAGGAGGTGCTTGTGATAAAACAGACCGACACCTCAAGTTACAAGTGTTAATTTTATTGTGGCCACCAGTTCCATGGAAATTGCAAAATAGTTAAAATTCAAAATCGATGCTAATATTTTTTAGATTTTACTTTCTTTAAAAGTTTTTAGTAAATAAATTTTATTGATGGGTTTATTTATGCAGAAAATTCACCTCTTTTTTCGCCGAAATTTTTAGAGGCCTTTATCGATTAGGCCTGGAAAGAGCCGCCGCCGAAGTTGCCGCCGCCGCCGCCTTCGATTACATTTGCCCTTTTGGAAATATTTATTTAATACGCCGCTGGAGAAAAGGAATGAAAGTGCGTGCAAGTCTATTTGTTCTGCTGCCAGACAGTAGGTAAACAAATTATGTCAACTCGCAGAATTTATTATTCAGAGCAGAGGGGCTGCGCGTTCTCTCATCCGTCTATTGTACAGAAAAATGTTCGGCGAGAGGCGGGCAGAGCGAAAGTAAATTAAAAATGGTCGTGTTTGAGTTCGACGGGAAACATTTCAGAGCTGCAGACGATACAGCTGATTTGCTTAAATAAATTTGTATTCTTTTTTCTTTAAAAATGTTTGTCTATATCTGACAGAGGGAGGAGCAGAGCTTTGTTTTTGAAACAAAATGAAGCTATCGTGATTGAACATTTTTTCTAGTTATTTTTAAACATTAGAATAAAATAAAAAATAAATTAAAAAAAGGTGAAATTATTTAATTTTAATACAATTTTTTTTATCAAGACTTGCCAGATTGCCATAGAATCACAGCCTGATCAAGGTACAAAGAAAATAGTTAAACACTTGTTGGTGTACCGCATGTAAATTTTAATAATTATGAAACAACTCAAAACCAATCTTAATTTGAATTCTTTCGTGTCAATAAAATATTATTTTAGTTAAATTTTTTTAACTGAGCATTTTTTAGTCTTTTCTCTACAAATTTTCTAAATATTTTTTCGTCTATAGAACAATGAATAAACATTAAATGAGGAATTTAAGTAAAAAAATATATTTGACTCAATTAATATTAAAGATTAATAAATTGTCAAAATTCAAATTTATATTACTTGAAACACTTTTTTGCTTAAATACTCTTCACCCATTACGTACTACCGCATCAGATAATTGTATTAATATAAATATTATTGCTAAAGCATTAACTATTAAAATGAAATCTCTTCAAATACCGGCTAAATTATTATGCATCCATCTAAATTTGTATGAAATAAGATCGCTTCTGATTGTCTTAATTTTTCATAATTCTACTTTAAAATTTTATTTTACTGTAAAAAACTCGATTATCAACAACCCAACCACCTTAATTTGACTAAAAGAACCTTAAAAAACCCAACAAAAAATTAATGTTAAGCGCTTGAAAAGAGGATTTTATGTTTTAAAAAGTAATGCCATTTTTGCAGATTACCAAAAACCCTGTCTGTACCTTAGAGTAAAGTGTGAGGTGCGAGCGACTGCCCGTCCGTCCGCCGTCGGCCGAGGAACTGGAAAAGAAGGCGCCTCGCGCGTTCGCCGGCCGCGTCGAAGTCTCTCGCGTGTCCTCGGGCGCAGGCTTTTGGTCACTCCTGCCGCGCTTGTAATTCTCGCGCAAAGCCCCTCTACAGCTCGTCCGAACTCGGCAAAAGCTCATCAAGTACTAACTGCCCGCGAGACTAGTGCATAAATAATCACGTGATTAACGCAATTAAAAACTCCGCAGCGCCGTTTGCTGGGTTCATAATTCATTTTCGTGGTGGGAGGATTTTTTATTTTTCGCTGATTGCCAATTCGGCGGAACGCTCTCTGCGGGATTCTGAGCAAGTATTTCATGCATTTCCGCGCCTTTGATCTTTTTTGTCTGGCGCGTGACCGAAATTGGCAAAAAGCGCCATTGCCAAAAAAGTCTCCGGACAGTTCATTCAGACGCAGACCTTCATTCACACTTTCGACAAACCAATCGGAATTTTTTTCAAGTAAAACCTCCACGTGTCTCTGATTTTTTTTAGTACTACTAGGAAGGGAAAAATTTGAAGTAAACGCGATCTGCATTATTCACGCTATTATGATTTTGATTCTTTTTGGGTGTGAATTTTTCAAAGGGTTAAGTCGTATGTAAAATGGCTAATGCGATTTCAGAACGTAGAAAAGGTATAGTTGTCATTAAGAATGCACAGGAATTGACTTATTTTTTTTGTTTTTGAAAGGAGAAAATTGAAAACAAAAATATGAAGGGCCTGAAGTGTTTGGTTTTTTTTTCAAACAATATGAAAAGCAATCAAATTTATATTATTTGTATTTGGAATAATTTATAATCTTGTCTATTCCAAATAAAAATTTTAAATATAACTCATAACCGTAGTTGTATTATTACATTATCTTATAATTGGATCAATTATTCAAACCATCTTCCATCGTCTCCTAATTATTTAAAATTTTACATGTGAGACGCAAATCTTCCTTGAAAATAGTACGAAAATTGCTTTCTAGAACAATTATTTATCAACTTTTGTGGCCAAAGGGCCAAGCAATTTTCCAATTACTCAGAAATAATTGCAATTACTTATTCTTCAAAGACGGCGGCGGTCGTTTAAAGTTCCATAATAGCCGACAAGTCGCCGCGCCGCCAAGTATGCAATCATGAAAATTGATGCGTTTTAAATGGCAAGACGTGAGCAATAATTAAAATATCGAGTCAGAGGTTTGTTAGCCGATGATTGGAAGCGATTATGCAGGCGCCTTCAAGTCCAGCCGGCGCGGCTCACAAAGCGGCCACACATTGTTGCTATTGCACGGCTGCATAGCAACAGAGGCTCCTTTTTTGGGCCCTCGGTCTTCCACGCAACGAGCGCGGTGTCGTTTCAATGATTTCGGGAAGACCATCGACTCAATTTTGTCTCAAGGCTCAAACAATAATTGCGGCACCAACAGCACCCAACGCGCTCGACGAGTGGGAGAAACTGGAAATCTCGGTACACTTTGTGTATTTTTTATTGCTATCATTTCAGCAATAATTAGCAGTGTTTTTTTAATTGGCTTAGCATAAATAGTTAAATTTGCTTTTATTCCAAAACAAAATCAGGCGAGAAGTTTTTGCATGGTATGCAACCCTTTCGAAAAATAAATAATTATTATTGTTGTTTATTTGTCCTCATTGTTACAAATACATTGTTTGCATTCAATTGTTGAAAACAATTTTTGAAAAAAGGAATTATTGGACAAAACGGCACCACCACGAGCAAGAATTTTGCTAAAACTCCCGAGATCAAAAAGACTCAATCCGCCGCTGTGAGCCTTGATTGACTAAGTTTTTGTTCTCATTATATATCACAAATTTTGCCTCGGGTAAGCCTAATTAATTGTGAATTATTCGTAAATAAAAATCCGTTTTATATTTTGATATTCGAAGTATCCACCAAATACAGAGAAAAATTTCACAAAGGTGATATTCTTAATAAAACTGGATGATTATGATATTGGAAGTTGAAAAAATACATCATGCTTCATTTAGATGTGGTAGTAAAGAATTGCAAAAATAAGGAACAAGTATTTTAATTTATTGAAACAAAAAAATTATTACAAGATGCCTATGAATATTGAGACAGGTATACTGATTTTTGTTAGGGCAAATTTTGAAGTCATTATTTTTTTGCGATCGCGATCCATTTTTACATATTTATCTTACGTCATTTTTAATGAAATTGGGAGTCATTTTCATAACTAACTAACTGCCCCGTAAGTTATTGTATAATTTAGAAGAAAAAAATTTAATATATTTTTTTATTAAATTGTTTATTTTTATATTAGAATCGTTAGTCAATTCATTTTTAGCCTTCATTTTTGTTTGATAAAAAAAATAAAGTTTTTGCCGGTTTTTATTAATTTTGGATATGCTATTTTCTGATTACTGATTAGCCCTTGCAACTAAATGTAACGCAGTCCTAAACAAAACAAAATGAGTTCGCTCCCCTTTGGCTTTTACCCTCAACTTTGGCCTATGCATTGACACCAAATGGGCGGCTTTTCACCCCAATTCGGTGGTTGCACAATAGGCTTCCGGGTGTTGGCAGCGACCCTCCCACGCATAAGTGCACAATCCATTATTATTTTTTCCCACATAATAAATAATTCAATAGCCCGTTATTAGCCCAGTATCAATTTCTCCCTTTTGACTTTGAAAGGTCGTCCTTCCTGATCTTTCTCCCGTATCCTTTGTTTCAATCCATTTATCCACCAACTCAGTTTTTACGTGGGATAGTAATTAGAGTATTTTTTTTTGTTCACTCTGTAGAAACCGAGAAAGGATCGAACGTCCGCTGTTCGGTCTTTTTATCGCGTTTGGCACAAATCGTGGCTGCGTATCTCAAGAGCGACGCTATACAGGAAATCGAGACGTGATGCGGAGCAATGAACTGCCAATTTCTATTAATAAACTGCATGCACGCACCCGGAATGATTATGATATACGTGCGGCCGTATATACGAGGCGGGCTTGTTGCGAAATGAGACACGGTCTCGGATAAAAAAAATCAGAGTGATATTTAAGTGCTGATGCAAATTGCCTTCTCGTGTTGCAAAAACGTTTGTGTGTCTTACACAATAAAAAATGACGGGGCATGATTCCATCCGGCCGGTTGTGAGAGTTTAATGGTCTCTGTGATATGGTTCAATGGAATAAACAAACTGTTATAATTTGAAAGCAAAGCGCAGATTTTTGCTGTTTGAAATTTTTTAATTTATAAAAAATTTGATAAATGACAGCACTGAATTTTCTTAAAGCAGATTGATATTTGGGTATTTTCAAAGATCAACATTAATTTTAAATCAATCTTGGAGACACTTTTTTTTGTATTAAAATAATGTCTCATCCATGTATATAAAATATATAATGAATGTTTTATATCAAAATAAAAAACAGTTAAGAGAATAGGTAGAAAATTTGTTGTAAGATAGATTTGATCAAATTTTTTTTTACACCAATTGATGTTCAAATTAAAATAAAAAATGTATCAACAGGAGATTTTCATGAAAAGCATATAATCAGCAAATTATCAATCTTAAATAATTCAAACCAGTAATTAATTAAAAATTTCATTATCTTGTTATGCTTCGAAAATATTTATATATATATTTTTTTAAATAAATGGAAAACTTCATTAACAATAGAGAACAATAAATTTTTACAAATATTTGTAGTGCTGCAATATTATGAATGAGCATCGGAGTGACTTTTTTACTAATGAAAATAACCTGTGCTTGAGAGTCAAAGTTTGAAAACTCACCTTATCCGGTTGTTGCCCGATGAGGGAACGACGAAAAGTGTCGCCGACGCAAGGTGTGTGCGCGCCTTTATACATGATTGGGGCGTCTTGGAATCGCACCCCTGCTGGAGCACGCGCGACCCCTCCGCGGCAGATCGGCAGCCCAAGACGCACGCATCATCGCCACGACTGAAAAAAAAACTCATTCGGTCGCCCGCGCGTCTCGGTTTCCGCAAAAGAGCGCCGCATTTCTGCAAAACACACCCAGTCACGAAAATTCCCAGACGGTCACAAGGTCGACGAAATACTAGAGACGCTTCCAGAAAAGTTTGCGGCGCCAAGAATAAAAGAGCCAGTGTTGTTAGTTGCTTGCAAAGGTTAAAGTACTTGCAGCTGGGGGCGGTGAATTATGGTGCTGTTGCACTCCGCTCTGATCGCTCTGCAATAAGTATAGCAAAGCTTAACTCACGGCCAGCCAGTGATTTAAAGCTAATGACTCGCAATTCTCAAGTTTTCAAAAGTGGTAAAAAAAAATTAGTGTCTGATTTTTTGCTCTGATTAAAATGAAGCAAAATTAATAAATAAACATTTTTTTGAAAAATTCTTAAAAAAAATTTATACGTAATCCTTTATTTTGAAAATTTTAGTATTACCATTATTGCTGTTTATTCTTCCAAATTGTTGGACCAAAAGACAACACCACTTGCAAAAAATTCGCGAAAACTTCCGAAATCAACTCACCGAGAACCCATCCACTCCACCGCAGTGAGCCTCAGTAGACTATATTAGTTTTTTTTCTTAGAGAAGGTTATATGCCCGATATCTAGAACGAAGAGAACAAAATTATTCTTAACTCGTCCCTTGATGCTTGATTTTAAATAAAGATAAACCCTAAAATAAATATATTAATAGATGGAATTGGGTGGTGCCTTCTCCACCACCATAAAAGGGCACAGGCCGACATGACTCCGTCTTGGGCTGACCCAAAAAAATAAAAAAAATAAATAAAATAAAAAATAAAACAAAAAATGAAAATAAATAAACGAAAAAATAAATAAATAAAACTTCTAGAGCTTTTACTCGGCTTTTCCTGAATTAATTGAATAATCATGACTAAACGTGCAGTGCCGGTTGCCTAGCCTCGTCATTGCAGGCGTTCAGCCTTATAAACGCACACACGACCAACTCTTGTCGTTTTCAAAATTAATTACTTCCAGCTTTTTAATTGAAATTGTATTCCTTGATACCTTCTCTGGGAAATCTATTGAAAAATATTAAATTAGGAAATAATTAAAAAATAATATTTTAGGTTTCATAGCGAAACATAGCATTCTTAAATTATATTTTGTTTAAATTGACCCAATGACGATATTGCAAGGCTGAATGGAGACAATTTAACCAGTTAAACAAATCTCAGAAATAAAAATAGGAAACAAATACTTGATGTGAAACAACTTTTTAAAGATCAAGTAGAGAAAATTTTTATCTTTAATTTAAAGCTTTTTCTAGATTTCTTAAGTCTTTAAAACCAGGATTACAAATTTCTGTTCAAAAAGCAATGTTTGTGCCAAACATAAATTAAAAATCTTTTCCGCAAAACTCTTGGAATCAAGCTAAAATCAAGATAAACAAAAATATTTTCTTTGGGGGAGAGCATACACGTCAAAGTCAAACAAAAACTTGAATAAATGAATAAGTTTTCTAAAAGAAAAACACATCTCAAACCCATGTTTTAGGCAAACAACTTTCACTAAATTTTCTGACTTCATACACTCATAACCTATAAATCTCTGTGAAAATCTTTCCTCGTCGGGGTCTGTGAGTTTTATTGCGTGGGAGAAGATTAGGGCACGTGGGCCTGACCATCTTGGGGGCGCAAAGCGTATTTTGTCTGACGATTCATTCTTGGTGCTGCTCCCACGGGCTGTTGATTATTAGGTGGCGACAAACTTGTTTTGGGCCGCCGACGTCGCCAGGAGAGCGCCCGGAAAGAACTCAACGTGTAAACAGAGCAGACACGTGTGTGGCCGAACAACCTGCTGCCAAACCGAAATCGGGGCAACAAATTTCACGGCTGAGCGGCCCGCGCGCCAAATCGCAACAGGCAGGTGTCTCGAGAGCTCGACCTCGCTGCCGGCGCGTGCATGGGCACCCCCCATTCATGTTTTCCTCTCTCCGATGCACACACTTCTCGGAAGCTCTACGTCCTGGTTTTTCCCTCGAACACACGCAAAAATTATCTTGCTGGCCAGGCTAAATGCAGAAAGGGGTTGTTTTCCCCGCTATTTATAAGGCGAAGCGGGCACTTATATTGCGCAGTTCTTGAGACAATTTATTTTATGGTGAAAATTTAAATTTATTTGCATAAATAAAAAATCATCATTTAACTTGTAATTATTTATCAATAAGAGCGTTTTGAGTTTGATTAATATTAAAAAATTTAAATTTTGAAAGTTACAATATGCAATAAATCTCATATTAATTATATGTTAAAGAAAATAAAGAAAAAGAAACGCAATTCCAATTTCCAAATAGAAAAAAAAAATTATTTTGTTGATTACGGTTTGTTAAAACTTTTCCGAGTGCAATATAATACAACGGCAAAGGAAGGAAATGCTGAATGCACATATAAATGAGTTAATAATTGAGTGAACAATTAACATTTAATTCATAGAATTTGAAAATAAAATTTAATTAACGATTACATATTTTGGATATTTCTTAAATAATTAGCAAGATTTACAGTAAAAAAAATAAATATTAACTCTCAATCATAGTAATTATCAATAATATAATCTTTTATCTTGAAAGTATATGCTATGATTCAGGAAAAAATAATGAATTAACAAAAAACAAATTATTTACATTCTGCTAAATTTTCAATTTGTTCCCACCCAGTCACTTCTGAGAAGTAAAACACTAAAAACAGACCTTGAGGTTACATAAATCTTTTTTAATTCATATTATTTATTAATAATTATTATTATTCGTGAATTTATTTTTAGGGCAACTTTGTATTGATTTTAAGTTGTACTGTTCATTTGCATTAATCCCTCTTGACATCACTTCAGCAAATCTGTGCCGCGGCTGCAGTGTCGTGGGCGGCACTTTCGTTTGAAGCGACCAGACAATTAGAGCCCATTTGAATTCAGCCTGCAGATCTCACGGTTGCGGCGGCGAAGCACCCAGGCCTAGTATACTTCTCTACAATAGCTGCCAATTGTCTGCATTTTTATTTGTCCAGACAGACAATAAAAATTATTATTTTTTATTTTGAATCGAACCTTGAAGCGCCGGTCAATAAAAAGATAATGTTTGAAACAAGAACAAGAAATTTTATATTTTATTTGTGTCAATTTGAGTCTGCTTTAAAAAGTCTAAATTGAACAAATTAGCACAGCCAGACAAGTAAGGATAATACAAATTCCGTTAGTATTTTTTTTTTAAATCATTGTTGTTGTTATGATAAAATTTCATTGTTAAATATAAAAAGAAAAAAATTTTTCCTATGAATGTTTGTATTTAAAATTTCAATGATAAAATTTGTATTATTGTTGTTTATTTTTAACAAATTTTAAATCAAATGAGAAGATAAATAATTGACTGTGTGTTTATTGCTTAGTACAATATTTTTCCTAAAAGAAAAAGAAAATTTTTCTTTTAAATATTTACAAATTGCAAATATTTGCGTAGAAAAAAACAGAAATTTTATTCACCCTCGTCTTATCCTTATTACACGGAGTTCTATTTACAAATAATCCAAAGGGGGATGCCCTCGCATTTTGACGATCACTTGGCGAAAGGACACGCTAGCTATTATAGTCCACACACTCACTCACGACATGAGCAGGTTTGAATTGCGCCTCGTTGACCCTTGACCGCGCGAGGCGCCTATATTTATTTACTCCCAGCCGCAGATCGCACGCGACGCGACCTGCATTTCAGATTAATCGAGGAAACACGCGCGACGCCTCCGCCGATCAGCAGCGCCCTGTTTGTAAAACAGACGCACACACGCACTGCCACGGCTAGTGTTTACGAGATGAATCAGAAAATCACGTTGCAGCAACACGAGGCGTCCGCGCCAATAATAACACAATCGCGACGGCTCTTTGTACTTTTGCACAACTTTCTCGACCACGACTTATCATTATTTATCAATGAAGCGCGGCTGTCAAGCATGGGAGTGGTCGTCTACCAATTTAATGCTTTAACTTTTTTCTAAATATTATCATTTTAATTAAAAATAAATAAATTCTCTTTGATTCGAAATAAGAAATCATAAAATTGAAATTTTTTTGCCAATCTCAAATTGCATTGAATTTAATCAGTTGTATGCTTTTAACGGATTTTAATGAACGATTTACAGCTTTTTATTTATATAAATAAAAATATTATTATTATTATTATATTATTATTATTCTCTTCTTCTAAAATTTAAGAAAACAATAGCACAAGTTGTCACATTGTTTTTATTATTTTTTTTAATTCCAGAAACATTCTAAAAATAATCTTAACTCAGGCTTTTAATATAATTTCTTATTTTTAGACACTGGTAGACTGTATGGGAAAAGTATGGAGAAGTATTATTGTATTTTTATTTTTTTGCTGATTTTTTATACATCAACTGTTACTTTTGCAAAAAAGTACAACTTTTAACATGAAATTGGAAAATAGTTATATATTTTATTACTTAAATTTTCCTCGCTTCATCCTGAAAAATACAATAATTGATCTATAATGAAATAAGAGCGGCTTTAGCGCCTGCAATTTTGCGAGGTATGCAACTGGCACGACTTGACGTCAGGAGTATAGAGAAAGGAGATAATGTACGTGTCTGAAAACTCTGAAAAATGTAGTACAACAACAAATGTAGTATGTACATAATAATGTACAACGTTGGGTCTCCTGAGGACTGAGCAAGCGCATTCACGCCGCATTCCAAAATAGCAAGCGACGCTTAGCTTTCCTGTTCAATCTGTTCATGCATTCGTGCAGTTTTGGTGAATCACCAATAATGTCAGCTGTGTAACAAATCTCTGTGTCTTAGAATTTTCACAAGGAGATTGGAGATTTAAGTCCTCGTGGTTGGTAAGGTTTATGAAATTAATTGATTTATTTTAGCATATTGATTAGGATGTGTATTTGTTCTTGTTCATTCAACCTTCGTCGCAAAGTATCTCTATTCTCTATGTAATTTTACGCCTATTTGCCTTTTTTAACGCACAAAACTTCAGGCATTGTGGGAAATTTAATGTGAGGCGTTGGTTTGAAAGTTTGCAATTTAAAAAAAGTTTTAAACCACTCAATAATGCAAGATGCAAGGCAAATTTTGATATTTAGAAAATTTTGAAACATCTTTTACACAAAAACATGCATTATAATGCATAAGATTTTGTAGGAATTAGAATTTCCTTCGCAGCCTTGCTTCCGTGATATTTTTATCCATTTTTGTTCATGCCACGTTTTCAAAAAATTTTCAGGGTCGGCTGCGAGTTGGATGGAAAGAGCACTTGGCTACATAAGTAATTCCTACCTGCTGTGGATTATCAAAGTCTTGCGGTTTCTGAAACAGATTCTTTTTGCCCTGCCGGGTCAATTTATTTCCTACATCAAAAACTCAACTCCAATCTACCCTCAATCAATGATGTCTGCTGAAGATGTGGGGGAGAAAAAGGGGCAGCAAGATTACGAAAAGGTATTTTGTCTCTAGCATTTTTACTTTTAACAATGATTTTTTTTTAACAAACATTTTGCATTCTATTTTTTATTTTTAGCTCCAGCAGTCGTTGGTCTCTCTTTTTAAACCAACCTTGACGAGTGGCTACGAACTAGCCAGCCTGATTCGTTGGAAGAGTTGCAAAGCCACTGGCAATGCCCTAAAAAATAATGACTTTAGAGTTTTGATTGAGGTTATTGATGAGGTGCGATAATACTTTCCAATCGTGGCTTCGTTTTTTATTTTAAAATAAATTTTAGAAATTTCTAATTTTTATTTTCTCCTGCAGTCCAATAACAAAACGAAGAGAATGTTTTTGGAAACAGCAATTCCTGTCATGGAGGATGGTGTGCTGATGACAAAAAAAACCAACATGCTTGGAAGATTTTCTTCCTGTAAAGATGCCCTTGTCTTATCAAGGCAGGAAATTTTCAACCTTCTATCCTGCTGCTTCTTCTGCTGTTTTCCAGAGAGTGGTGACAATAATAAAGCGGAACTGCTCAATTTCTCTCAGTAAAAAATAATTTTCATCTTCATGTCATCAAGATTACAAACTTATTTTGGCAGGCTGTTTGAAAAAAATTATCTATCTAGAGGTGAGGCACAGAAAGAGAAGATTAAGTGTTTGATGGCTTACTTTTGCATGGCTGCAAAATTCTACTGCAATGAAGGTTTGTTTTGAGTATATTACATAATTTAAATTTTAAAATTCTTATTTCAGTCATGGCAGAGATTGTGAGCCTGAAGAGAAATGTTGTGTTGAGAGCTCCAGATTGGTCATCCTCTGAGAAACAAATCATTCCTCTGGAGGTAACATACAGTGACACCGCAATGATGGCATCTATGTGCAAGGTGGATTTTGCCAACAAGTGAGTTTTTACTTCAATCAAATAACCTAAGAAGCTATGTGGTGAAATGTAATTATTGTAAAAAAAATCACATAGGCGCATTGGTGGAGGAGTTCTTGGCTCGGGCACATTGCAAGAGGAAATCATGTTCATCACCTGTCCTGAGCTCATCATTGCTAGATTTTTCTCTTCAAAAATGGAGGAAAACGAGGCCATTGTCATTACTGGTGTTCGCCAATATTCTAATTATGATGGATATGCCGAGGATTTCAAGTTCAAGGGAGTTATTTCTTTGGACAGCAGTTCTGACTTTCCTATGCAAATTGTGGCAATGGATGCTTTGGACTTCACTCATAAGCCACCCTACCACCAATACTCCAAAGAATGTGTTCATAGAGAGCTGCTCAAGGCCTATACTGCTTTTAGTGCTATTGGTTCGGAGGAAATTGCCTCTGGAAACTGGGGTGGCGGCTGTTTCAAGGTAATTGATTATTTGTTATTAATTTTCAATTTCATTAATTAAAAATTTTAAAATGAAAGAATAAATTATATAAATTTGCATCTCATAATTTTGTAGGGTGATCCTGTTTTGAAAGCCAAAATTCAGATGATTGCTGCCTCCGAGGCTGGTAAAAAGGTCCACTTCAATTCCTTCAAAAATCAGGAAGTGCAAAATGATGTGTCAAGACTAGTATATAATGTGCGCAAAGATACAGTCGGTAAGCACTCATGAGTCGATGTGTTCATATATTATTGTATGTTTGTGGTTGATTTTTTTTTTAACATTTTTTTAGCTGATGAATACCACAGTCTGGTCGAATACTACCTTGCAAAGGCTCGCTCAGCTTTAGAATCATCGATGTCATCATACAAAGGACCTGACAAAGGACCAGATAGAAAATATTACAAGAAGCATAGCCTTGACTCTAATAGCCATACAAGTGGATCCTATAACTGGTGATTTTTGGGCCATAAAATGCACTGAAACTAAAAAGCATCCAAATACTCCATTTTTGTTTTTTTGCTGTTAGGTGCAAGGTGAGGCAATTCATATTTTTTTGTTGCATCAATGAACACCCTTTATTGGTCTGTTTCCACCTTGTCCTATTACAATAATGTTCATGGTCACATCTCCGTTGAAATTTCCATCATTTAATTGTTTTTTCAGCGATCGTGCTCTTCTTAAATCTAAAATGTTTAGGGGGGCTCGTTAAAAAAGTCACTAGCTTTGATGTGATTTCTGTTAGCTTCCTTTATTTCAATGGATGATTGTCCAGTACCACAGAAATAAAAAAAAATCCCATTATATGATTTCGGCCAAGGTTTTCTGCATGATGGCTGTTGGCGCAAGAGAAGAAATTTATTTTACACCAATAAGACACAGAGGTTTTGCATTTTATTTTTCAATATATGGACTTTGCAGACAGATTTAATCAACGTAGAAAGGAATAAATAATAAAAAATTTCTATGCCTTAATGCCCAAATTGTGTTATTTTGTGAAGCATAGCTAGGTCTATAGAAACGCCTGCATTTTTGGGAGGTATGCAACTGGCACAACCTGAAGAATGGGGAATGCATTTGAGGAGCGGGTAGCGGGTGTAGTGGTGGAGTAGGCAATGGAGCAGGCGCATCAAATTTCGCTTTGCAAGCAATGCTTCAGTTGTACATATGAGTCGTGCTAGCTTTTTGCAGAATTTGGTGAATTACTCAGCCGCGCTGAGCGCTGACGACCCTCCTTGTGATAAGTATTTATTAATTACTATGTATCTCTTGTTTATTTTCTTTAATAATTATTTTTATTTTCACACCAAGTTTAATTGAGCACCAGCTGCCTACTGGCATATAAATTCATTACATTTTTTAGACACCTCAAAATAGTGCAAGGTTTTGTTAATCATTAGAATTACTCAAGCATTAGTGTCAATAGATGATTTATGTTTTGTAAAGTCCTTCAATTTCTGGCTCTTTTTTTAATGGAAAACATTGTTCAGCATTATTGAAAGTTATAACAATTTTAATTAAACTTAAAATAAAAATATGTATAGATAATATTATGTACATACATCTAATACAAAATATGTGTTTTCTTTCAGCTTTATTTTAAGATCCTCATAATGACCTTGCATTTTACAAATTCCTGCTTGAGATTTTAACATATTTTTGCAGCTTTCTACATATTTAATATCGATTTGAAGGAAAAGACTAGGGCCGGGAGAACGTGTTTGTTGGTTGCCTTTGGATTTTTAGGCTCTTGTCGAAAAATATCTCGCCCTGGGTCAAATTGGTGCGTACCTTGCACACTCGGCTCCGGTGCTCGTCATGTTTGGAGACGGGCAGCAGCAAGATTACAAAAAGGTACGTTATTTGATCATTGCCACTTTATTTTAATTTTTATCCTTTGCTCAGCTTCAGGAAACTCTGGTCAGAAGTTCCGACCCTGCTGTCAAAAATGGTCATGACCTGGTCAACCTGATTCGCTTCAAGAGTAGCAAAGCCAATAGTAGCTCTATGTGGAGCAAAAACCTTGATCTTTTGGTTGAAGTCGCCAACAAGGTAAAATTTTTAATATCATGATTTGCAAAGATTTTCTTCAATTATCATTTTAAAATAGCTAACAGGTGCAGAGAAAACGCGATTTTTTGGTGGTACAATTCCACTCATGAAGGAGGGAGTTGATTTTGCCAAAAGCACCAATCTGGTTGGAAAGTTCACCACTAACAAAGACCACGTCACTTTTTCTCGGCAAGAAATTTTCAACCTCTTGTCCTGCTGCTTCTTCTGCTGCTTTCCTGAGAGTAAAGGCAAAGACAAACTTCTCAATTTTTCCACGTAAGAACAGAATTGTTTAAATTTTGTCAAAACTTCTTACAATATTATGATAGAAAAGTTATTTATAATTTTTTGCAGCCTATTTGAAAAGAGAGATAATTGGAAGAGTGATTCTGTGCAAAAGGAGAAAATCAAATGCCTGCTTAATTACTTTAATTTAGCCTCTCAGTACTATCGTGAAGATGGTAACATATTTTATATTTCAAACCAAAATTTCATACCTTGTGATCACCGATCAACTGTGATTAATGTATGGTGTATGTGATTAAAAAACAATATTTTTAGTCATGAAGGAGACCGTGAATCTGACAAGAAGCATCGTAAGGCAGGATCCGGATTGGTCAAATTCAAAAATACCTACTGTGTCCCCACAATTGATTTTAAGTGGAATTGCTGTAGGCGTACCAGCTAGTGGCATGTGCAGGGTGGATTTTGCCAACAAGTACGAGATTTTTATTTTATAATACACTTATAAATTCTAGTAATTTTTATTTAATATATTATAAAATATTATTTAGACGCATTGGAGGAGGAGTTCTTGCTACTGGCTCATTGCAGGAGGAGATCATGTTCATCACATGCCCTGAGCTCATCATTGCCAGGTTTTTTTCATCTGAAATGAAGGACAACGAGGCAATCTTTGTCTCAGGATTGCGCCAGTACTCGTTGCACCAGGGTTACGCTGAAAGTTTCAAGTGCACAGGCTTCCTGGATTTGCGCAGCCCTGAAAGCTTCTGTCACAGAGTTGTGGCCATGGATGCACTAGATTTTAGCAACCAGCCATCGTGGTATCAGTATGAGAAACACAATGTGGACCGAGAGCTGCGCAAGGCGTATGCTGCGTTCAGTGCTGTGGACGTAATGCCTATTTTATCAGGAAACTGGGGCGGAGGCTGTTTCCAGGTATTATTGCCTTTTTAAATTGTATTTTATATTGCATTAAATTTAGAACTGGAGATTTATCAGGATGTGAATTTTGGGCAGTCACAAGACTTCCAGAGGCCCTAGTAAAAGTGCAAACAGTATTAGTTTTATTACAATTTTCATATTTTTTTTCCTTTATTTATTGGTGAATTTTGTTGCTTAAATGGAATTTAAAAAAAAAATTGTTTTTAATTTACTTAAACTGAAAAATCATCTCATTTTATCAAAAACTTTTTCTCTCATAAATGATCGAACACAATTTTATAGGGTGATCCTGTTCTCAAGGCCAAAATTCAAATGCTTGCTGCTTCCGAGGCTGGGAAAATAATTCATTACGATTGCTTCGGCAAGACTGAGATTCAAAATGCGGTTTTGTTAAATGTCAACTGCAATCGCAAAGAGACTGTTGGTAATCTTTGTAAAGCTTTCTTTAAAATTTTATATTAAATTTATGTTCATTGAATATAATCTCTAGGTGAAGAATACTTGAGTCTGCTAGAGTACTGCAAAGATGCCGATGCCAAGCAGAAAGCCGATTTTGGCAACAAACAAAACAGGAACAAGAAAAGAAATCAAAACGGCATGTTAAAATAATTCTATTGTGAGCTGTTGATGAGTATTTTTTGGTTTTTTGATTCTAATTTTGCTATAGTTAGCTAATTATTTAGATGCTGTGTATTAGTTGACTATAGGATTAAAAATGAAGGAAAAATCGTTTCTTGGTCCATTTCCACCTCGTTTTATTACAATGTCACTTACAAACATTCATGGCCAAGTGCCACATTTCAGTTAGAATATAAATTTCTCTGCCATCTTTTCATTGTTTTCAGCGTTTTAAAAGTATAGATTGTGGGGGAACATGCTGTATGTTCTTTATAATTCATTTCAAGGGTTCGAAAAATACCTAAAAAAGTTCAGGGGGGCAAAAATGAGAATCGCGTGCTTGCCATCTCTGTCGGCCTCCTTAATTTCAATATAAGCGGATTGTCTCGTACCACGGCGATAATTTCACAAATTTTTCTATTCGATTTCGGCCCAGGATTTTAGCATGATGGCGCTAGCGAAAAATTGATTTTACACCATTTAGACACAGAGGGGTTGCTTTGCGTTAGTCTCACAAACAAACATAGCTGCTGCCTCTAACATAAACATCGTTGGCAAACATGTTGCCGACCGTCTCCAAGCAATTATCAAGGTCCGCCGACAACACAATTGACACTAATTGTAATTACACCGAGTTTTATCTCTAAACACTCAGATCGTCCCTCCTTTTGCTGCTGGGGTGATTTTGTTCCCCTGTTATAACTTAATTTGGCTTTCGAAAGTGCGCAGGTGGTCTAGTTTATTTTTTTCTGCTAAATTTTAAAATATTTTTTCATTTGTTAAATTGAGACCACCAGTAAGAAGGAAACGAAACTTGTAAGGACAGGGTTCACATCCAGCAATTTTAGCGTGAGTGACGTTTAACACAGAATACGTAGCTGCTGAGGGTCTGCTTTTGTTTTTTACACCACATCAAAACTCTTTTACAACACTCTGCTCCTCTACCAAACATAGTCCTCAAGTGTGTACCTCTTTCTCTCGTGATCAATGTCCCATTCTTATGTACAGTGGTTGTTGAATGAAAACAGGTGGGTGGAAAATTTTTATCGGTGGGGTGGTTTCTTCAAAAAAATATATGCTCTTCATATATACTTCTGTTATAATACTCTGCATCTTTAGATATTTCTTTTGTTAAAAACAACATTTAGTGTGAGGCAGTTTTTACTTCTTTTTAAGTCTCGATGGAAACGAATTTTTAATTTCTCAACATCAGGGACACCATCACGGGAATTGATTAATGCAACATCCACAGAGCAATTACGTGTATCTAGCCAGCGTTGCCTATCTTTAAAATCTACTCCACTGAACTACTTTTTCTCACAGAACATCTCGTTTTGTTGATTGTTTTGGACCATCTTCTTTTCGTAAATGCAGTGAAATCAATCAAAAATGCAAACTGAGGACATCAATTTTCAATTCATTGTTACTTTTTGTTTTGTATGAAAATAAAATAGAATAATTGCACATCTGAGGAATGTTCTGTGTTGTTGAGTATGTTAAGTAAAGCATTATCACTTTTCTCTGAATGATAGCGTTAATTTCACAACATGAATCCATTTATAGAATACTTTTATATCATTATATTATTTCCATATGCAACCTCTACTCTCTGTCAACATAGAAAAATATTTATCCTTTCTCTTTCATCGTAATTTGCTTTATCCGTAGACATAAAAAATTTCTGCGGTTGCGCGTGAGTCACATAAATTTTTGTTCTGATAATTGTTTCTTCGCACATATGCTCGCTAAATAATTCATTTTTCTCACAAGGCACAATAATTTAACATCAATATAATTTTATCTCTCTCTTGCTATTCAGAAATCATCTCGTCGAGTAAGTCTATGTTGATCGTAGCATGATTCGCAGCCGTTCAAGTGTGCAAAAAGGTCTCATATAAAATGCAACAACCGCGTTTCGAGTAGAACTGATTGTCCGTGGGATTCTTTGCTCCGAAGAGGCGCGTTAAATTGTGACCAAAAAGTAAAAAGCAAAGATTTAAAAAATTTGAACCTAGCACAGTAGATGCCGAATGACTAGTCGTAGAAAGTGAGTGAAAAATTAGGAGTAACTAACGAATAATCTGCACTAGGATTTTGTCTCGTTGGCCTGCAGGGCAGCCATGAAGTTGTCGTAGTCTGGGTCTCGGTGCGCCCGCTGCTCGTTGATTTGCTGCTCGCTCAGTTTGGCCAGTCTTGCCTGCACAATCTTTAGGTGCCGCAGAATGTACTCTTCGTGCGGCGCCAGATGCAGGGTGTGACGCAGGCAAGCCTCGGCACGCACCAAATTTCCACGCTCAACATAAACGACGCACAAGTTGTGCAGACCCTGGACGTTATTGGGTTCGATCTGCAGAATCCTCTTGTAACACTATGGAAATTAAATAATTAATTTTAATATTTTTCTTTTACTATATTTATTATATCAAATTTTCATTTAAAAAAATAATAATAATTAATATTATAAAATAAATAATATGCCTTAATAATTTGTTCCATTTTGTAAATATAAATTAGAAAATAAAATAAAATTATCTCAATAATTTGAAAAATTGAATTGAATTTGTCACTCGTTCTTTAAAATTTCTATAAAATTATTATATTTTATAAAAAAATTTGTTATTATTGAAAAATTATTTTTCACAAATTTTTAATTACTAGATGTACAATTTTCATTCATACCAATTCTGCAGCATCGATGTCCTTGATAAAGTTGATGTAGATGTCACCAAGCAATATGAGCCCTTTGGTGTGATCGGGGTGGTGTTTGACCAGCTGGTTGAGGAAAGGCGCCGCTTCCAGAGGCCGATGGTCATCGGCCAGAAGCAGTGCCAGGTTGAAAAGCGCTGAGCGGAAGTCCTCCCTCAGCGCAATGGCCCTCCTAAACCAGTACTCAGCACCGGCGATGTCGTTGTCATCCATGGCTAGCATGCCGAGGTTGAAATAAACACGCTCGTTGTGGCCGGACTCCTTGGTCAGCAGCTTAAGCAGCCGCTCCCTGGCCAACTGCCTGAATTCAGGTCTGGCCAACTCTTGCAGGAGGATGGCCGAGTTCATCAGGGCTTGCTCGTGGTCAGGGTCAACCTCAAGAGCTTTGTCCAGGTAGGCTAAGGCTTGAGACGACTTGCCCTGCTCGATGAAGACAACACCAAGCTGAAAGAAAATAAATTAAATTTGTTTAAAAATTGCATGATAATTTTTCACCACTATGAAAGTGATTTTGTAGCAATTGATTATTAAAAATATTTGGTATGAATGATTTTATAAAATGGTAAAATAAATCAACTCACGTTGTAATAAATATCTGGGTTGTTGCTGTCGTAGAAAAGTGCTCTTTCATAAACCTCCTGCGCCTCTTTTGTTCTGCAGCAATAAATTTATTTATTAAATTTTTGTCTCTCACTTTTAAATCAAATTTTTAACCTGTTGAGTTTTAGGAGTACGTCTCCCCTGTTAATGTACGCCTGCGTGTAGTCGGCTCGCATGCTGATGGCCTGCCTATACAGCATGTCTGCCTCTTCCAGTCTCGTCTCATTCTTTGCAATCAGATTCGCCAAATTCAGGAACACATTCAGGTGGTTTGGCGCTATTCTCGCCTGGTACGACTCTCCAGGCTTTGCTTTCGGCAACAGTTCTTTTGCTTTCAAGTACGCATCTTCAGCCTCTTTGTACATTTTAAGGTGGTTCAAGGTCCTGCCAACGTTGATGTGTGCTCCTATGTCATCCTCCTGAACCCTGTTGATTACATATTATTTGAGAAAATGAAAAAAAAAGGTAAATTAATAAGATCATGCAAAAATTGGAAGTTTAATTGATTGATCCAGAATTGAAGGGTTGAATTGTGGAAAAATTATAACATGTGTTCTTAAAACTCACCTGACAGCAGTTTGGAAGAAACCAAGTGCCTCCCCGAAGCGGCCCTGGCCTTCAAGGGCATGTCCCACATTATTGTACAGTTTGGCATTGCGGTGATTGACCTTGAGGCCAGAGCTGAAGATGGTGTACTCGTCCTGCCAGTCCTGGTTGCGCAGGTAAGTCTTGCAGCCATGGGTGAGGACCAGAAGCCCCAACATGAACCAGGCAAACTTTTTCAGTCTTGCTTGTGACGCAAGTTGTGACCAGCCGTAGCCGACCAGCATGCAGAAGCCCATCGAGGGCATGTATAAAATGCGCTCGGCCACCACAAAGCCGACCGGGAAAAACAGGTTCGATGCAGGCAGGAAGGGCAAGACCATGAAGGCAAGGCTCTGTTGAAAAATTTAATAAAAATTAGTTTATAGTTTTATTTACTAAAATAAATTAGAAAATTTTTTATTCATGAATATAATTTGAGAAAAATAATCAAACAATAACTAACCATGACAAGGGCAGTCGCTTGCTGTTGATTTTCCGAAGTCACGGCAACGTAGGTGAGCATGATGAGGAAGAGGTACGCGGCCACGGTGGCCACATTCCTTGGATCGTTGATATTTGCGACCAGGGGGATGGTGCCCATAGTCCAGTCACAGCACAGGTCACACGGCAGCAACAGCAGACCTAGGTTCACGCTCAGCAAGTAGTTATACGTGAGATGACGGGCAGGTGTGCTTGCGGCCGACGCTGGGTTGTCGAACCTGAAGTAAATCATGATAATTTTTTATAATGTTTGAGAGGCAGGTTAAAATCAAACCTTGTAAAAACGGGAAGACGAGCACCCATGATTTGGACTCTGAGCGCCAGCAGGGCAATCGCCGAGCCCACAAGGGCTGCTAGTCTTTTACTGGTCTCCACTGACCACGGCAGAGGGGTGTTTTTGCCTTCCAGGGTGGCTTTTAATGTGTGTATTAAGTCTTGTAGACGAACCTGAAAGATTTAAATAAATTTTTGTTAATATTTTTGGAGTATTAAAAATATAAATTAATAGATCGGGCTTCTTCCCCAATGCAGAAATTGTTTTTCATTGAAAAACAAATGGCTCTTGGATTTGTACTTGAATTTGTTAGTTTGAGATGTAAATTTTTCATCTTAAAATGTGTGTGTGTGTGTGTGTGTTTTTTAATTTTGGTGATTTTTTTTCTATTTTTTTTTTGCTCATGAAATAGGATCGCAGGCGGTTTGAGCCATTTATTTTTGAAAAAAAAAAAAAAAAAAAACAATTTCTGCAACGAGGAAAAAGCTCGATTTCTTCATTTCCATGATCATCTCCTTGAGTGTCGACTTCTTCAAACAAATTTAAAAAAAGCTGATATGAATACAATTCTTATTTTGACTCACTTTTTGCACAACGAAGAGTTCATAGACAAAGCAAATGCCAATGATGGTGATGCCCTGCTCCTTGCAAAGCATGGCCGTGGCCACGCACAGCAAGGCCAACACAAGCGACCGCCACCTCGTGTGTCGCCTGTTTTTGGTGGCCTGCGTGTAGAACATGAAGGCGGCGATGAAAAATACTGATGAAAGGGTCTCCGCTCGACCTACAACGCCCGTCACCTGAATCAGATAAAAGGATTAATTTAAATTTAATGTGCTTTAAGAAAAAAACTCACCGCTTCAGTGTGGATGGGGTGAACTGCAAATAGCAAAGCTGACACGAAACTTGCCAGTTCGGATAAAAATGTGGCACACATTCTGAAAGTGAATTTTATTCGAACAATTATAAAATCTTCTAACTCCAAAGGTTAAGTTTTTACCGGAAGTACATGAAGCAGACAAGGCAGTGGAGGAGCATGTTGACCAGATGGTATCCTAAGGGCTCGAGCTGGTGCAGCATGTAATTGAGTCGGAAGGACAAGACGCACAGAGGCCTGTAGGATTTGTGGCTTTGCTCCTGAAAATTATTAAGAAAAAAAAATTGTTTAGAAAATAAGTTTTTTTTTATTATATTATAATTAAAATAATAAAAATGGTTAACTTTGACAGTATTTTTAAAATATTTTTTTCACATGATGGCTCATTTTTTTTTATATAAAAAAGACATCATTTTTTGGTGATACTGTTTCTTTGAAAGTTTCTAGGTTCAACTTTATTGACTTTTCAATAGTGAATTTTTTATTTGCAAATGCCCTGGGGGTGTACCTTGTGCATGGGTGTGCCCCAAAAGTCGTTGCGGAAGATGTTGGCGAGGGGTGTGTGGGGGCGGAGGTCCCTGTTGTCCTTGATGGCGCTGACGTCGTCAAAGACGAAGCTGCACTGCAGGCAATTCAAGTAGCAGGCCACGCAGGCGGCCACCACGACGGCGGCCAGCAAGTGGCCTCCCTCGCCACCCACGCCCATTCTGTCAACACGAACAAGACAAATGATTAAAAATAGAATTATTGACGAATAAAAAAAGCATCATTTAAAAACAGACTAAAATAAAAATATTGAAATGAGAGTCGAATTTATACAGGAAAATTAGAATTACTTAAAAAAATTTATATGTATACATTTTTAAAGGGTTGAGAATTTCAACACTCAATTTTCAAAATTATTTGTCAAACTCGATACGCGTCTCAAAGCCATCTGCCTCTCTAGGGGAAACCAGTTCTGTGCGCGTATATTTATGCACGTCTGATACGTATATTTTGGAAAAGTGGCAACAAATTTAATAAATCGCCTTGAGGGTGCGACGAGATTGGCGCTCGGCAGCTCGCTGTACCGACTTTGCATACACACGAGTTATTCGCATTACGCGCGCGAGGCGGCTACACTATGGGCTACATCTCGGCAGCGACGACGAGGCATCTTGTTTGCTCTTTATGCAAAACACGAGAGAACTGGAATTCAATTTGGAGCACATCCAAGTACACTCCGGTCGCGCGTTTCCAGCGCCTGATTGACTCACCACTCGACTCCTCGAGACAAAAATAGAGCGTGGAAATTGCCAATTCGCAAACGGCCCGAATTTTTGTCAAAACACCAACGCAAATCGTTTCTGCAGATTAAACTTTGACGTTCGAGCAAGTTTGATAAAAGTTTTGTGTAATCCATTAAATTCAGTACTTCCAGCAAAGTAAATTACATAAATAAACTTGTAAAACTTGTCCGTTTCTTCGTAAATTGCGAATGTCTACAGATTTGAATTAAAATTATCTTTGGGAAATTTAATTGATAAATGCACACTAATTTAAGAAAGCCATTCTTCAAATTATGTAATATGGTGAAATATCACAATAATTTTTGTTTCATCAATTAAAATCAATTGAATTGAATAAAAAATTTAATAAAGAATTGGAAAAAAATATGGATGAAATAATGAATTTTTTACTGCAATTTTTTTATTTCAATTAATATTATATTTTTAGCACTTGATCCTTAAAAAAAATGGGATTCAATTACAAATGGTAAAAAATCTGACTGAAACCTGCCGATGTAACGGTTCTTTATGATTCCATGTAAGACTTATTAATTATGTATGTGAACTTTTTTAACTGATGCGGGGACAAGCTTATTTATTTTTTTTTCCAAAAGGATAACAAATTATTAAATACAAATCATTTAAAAATTGCTTAAGCATTTCCAAAGATCATTCGCAAAGCAGCTAATTCAGAAAAAAATAACATTGCAAAAATTGTCCTTCCGCAAATAATTTGCAAATTTGCCAAAGCGGCGGGAAATTATAATATAATTTTCCGTCTCCACGAAAATATGCAAAAATTCCACAGTAATTCACGCAGCATAATTGTCATGAAAACGCATAAAATTCGTTTACACTTCCTGCTTCCGCTGACCCCTTTCCTGTTGGCCGGCAAATTAACTGTAAATTACCAGGGTTGCCAGACACTAATTGCTGCTCCTTTCCTTTCCCCGCCCCTGATGAATATTTAAGCACCGCGGAATATCTCGAGTGGCAACGTTTGGCCGCTCTAAATACGGACCCCAGCAGCCTCTCACCTTTCTATTTGGGCCGTCACCCTGCTGAAGAGGCCCCTGGCGCCCCTGGGCCTCATCATCCTGCGCCTAGGAGGGCGGCCACCCTGCTTTTGGTGCCACTTTCACCAGCTAGAAGCTCCGAGTGTTTTGCTCCGATCCGCAACCCCAGCTGGTTGCGCGATCGACAGCGGCGCCGTGTCGACTCCGCGGGCCCCACCGTCGGCCCCACCGCGTCGACGCCACGTTCAGGGGGTGCGTTGATCCCGCCGGCGTCAGATATTAGCGCAAAAAGCGGCCGAAATTGGTCAAATTCGCGAGAGTCGGCCGCAACCCGACCTCCATTTCTCTCACTGCGTCTGCGGTCACGTGACCACGGAAGTTGCCAACCCTGCCGCCAGGGGCGCTGCGGACACGATCGGAGAACGGTGTTCAGCTCTTGCATGGAGAGATGGTTCTTCCACTTTGGGCTGTCGAAGGGAGCGGACCGAAGCCTTCCAAAGATTAAAATAGGAATTTTGCAAATGATTATTTCAATCGTGATTTTAGATGAACCACATTACGATTTTACATATTTTTTAAATGAGCTGAGAAATTATTGTTATTAATTATTCTTCTCGGTCAATACATATTTAAAAATGGTAAAAAAAAGAGAAGAAAGATTTTACAACTAGCACAACTATGTACAATATGTAGTACATATTTGTTAAATGAGCGGAGAAATTAAATTTAAAAAAATTTGCATTAATTAATATAAGAACTTTTTTTGAACCACGATTATATAATTTTAAATGAAAATTGCCTGCCTACTAAATAAACGCATAAATGCAAATGAAGCCAAAACTTATCAGATTTTTTCCTCGCAGGGAAAAAACGACCCAGATTAACCGGAATTGCGACAATTTTGACGTGGCATCGAAATTAATTTCTTAATAGCTGCTGGGTTGCCATTTTTTATTTTATTTTTTATTATTCTCTGCTATGTGTGCTCCCGCGGCTGACATTGAAACCATCCCTCTATTGTTTGCTAACGTGGTGAACGCGCGGCTAAAAATTTAATGATAAATTTTAAACGCGCGCCAGAGAGAGAAAACGCGGCGCTGCCGGTTACGTGTATATTATTTATCATCCCCACGCGACTTGTAAAATATTCACAATGCATCCGCCAGCACTTTTTTGCCGAGCACGCGTTTGCACATTAATCTAACTTGACGAGCTGAATTTGCATTTTTGCCTCGAAATTCGGGCGCACGTCGATAATATTTAAAAAAAGAATGCAAATCGACCTCTTGTTGGAAACTTTCATTTTCCCTAACCAATTTCTCTCCAGCTGTTTAATAAAATCGCGGAGAGTAAATAAAAATATTATTTCGACGCGCAGCATCTGCCGCCCAGACGCTTTCTGTTGCAAAATTTAATATCTTTCTCTGTGAGTCTCCGGCAGAGCAGCGAAATTGAGACTCTCGTCTGCGGCACCTGTCATCCGGCTCTATTTTCAGCACCTTCGTTTTCTCCAGGCGTTATTATTTATTCACCATGAAGTGTGGTAGTTCTAGTCGTTAAATTCCGACTTTATTTCTGGTCTACTTTGATACTGAACCAAATTAGAATTTTAAATAAAATGGAAAGACATTCTAGAGTAGAGCGGTCATTTTTTATTTTCCCTGTTAAAGAAGATAAATGGCGCTTCTGTTATCGCTGCGTGTTTGAATATATATTCAGTTATATATAAAACGGATAATTTATTGTTTCCAAATGAAATCCACGTCCATCTGACAAAAACGTGACTTTGCTTGGCCCACGGAATCGATTTCCGTTGGGCAGACGAGCGTGAAATGACCGGCGAGAATTAATTTTATCAGAACATGCCAATAGTATATTTTTTTTATACCAAAGTATATAATGAGTTGACGCAAGTCACGGGGAGGATTGGATTTCGCGCTGTTGTCTTTGGTTGTCGTAAAAACAAACGGCATTGTTTTCCGTCCAATTAGGGCGCGCGGCGGAACGATCGTTCGGCGCCGACGAGCAAATATAAATTCGACACACAAAGATAATCCGCGCGCATTAGGCAAACACAAAACCAGATTTATCCACGCGATAAAATTTTAATCTGCCGGTTCGTCCGCCGTTATTGGAAATAAAACCAGCCAGCCGTTCATCGCCCAGCCAATGACCCCAGTTTCGCAACAAAGTAAAAAAATTGTTTCACACAGAGTAAAGCGAATTCTTCATTCAATTCATCGTTCTCCTTTGTTTGGCTCGGTAAAGCATTTTTCGAATTTTAAATATACATCGCGAGTGGGAGGGAAACTGTTTGGAATGGGAACAAAATTGCTTCCCATTGTTTAACCACAAATTTAATTTTGCACTCAAATTTTAACAAATTTTCCCCTAATTTTTTTTTCAATGGCGCTAGCTAAAATTAGATTTTATAAAAATTACATTTCTGGTGCTTTGTTTCCAAAGATTAATTTTTTTCACAAAGCTTTTTAGAGTGAAGTGGTGGAAAATCTGCACGAGTGCGCATTTTCGGGCAAACTTTATTGTAATCCAGTGACAACTTTCTTTTTGTTCTTTTCCTCCTCCGCTTTTCCTGCTCTCGTCTCTTGCACGCCTCGGTCTGCTATCCTTTCCCTTCCACCTGGAAGCCCTTCTTTCTTTCTCTCTCTCGGTGAAATTTGCGTGCGAAAAAGTGGCGCGTTCTCTTTCGCCCACTTTTTCACGGCGGCTGATTTTCTTTTCTTTCTCTATGTATTTCGGCCGGGTCGCTTCGGCGGCCGGGCTCAGGAGCAGAGCAGAGAGAGAAATGCTGCGTGCGAATTGGGAAAGTTTTTGGTGCTGGCCGGGGCTCGTCGGGGCGCCGTAGAGTGAGTGAGTCGTACATCCCCCTTAAAGTCGGACCTTTCATTAAACGGCGGGGCGAGAGCGCAACCGTTCTGCGGACCTGTTCCGCCAGACTCCCAACATGCATGGGTTTTGCTCTTTTTGGGGTTGGTGAGTGAAAAACCGGAAGGTCTTTTTCACCAAACGAGAACCAGTCAAATTTGGAAACTTCTTGTTCAAATTTTTGCCGCTTATAATTCGTTAATTTTTTATGGCATTTTTGTGCCATTCACATGTTTTTTTTTAGCCACTTCCGAGTTTATTTTTATTTTCCGGCAACACAGAAAAGTTATGTCCGCTGGGGAATCGCGCGTTTTTACGGCCATCCACAATGCCCAAATGAAAATTTACGACTGGAATCGAGTGCGGAAGTTGGGAAACAAAGCCCCAATCAGCCGCGCAACCGAACAATGGGTGTTTCTGCGGCGCTCTACGTCGAATTGATTACCGTTCCCGCAGAACAAAAAGACCAAAAAGAGACCGTTGAGGGTGCAAAGGAAGAAAGGGCGGATTGAACGGTAGTTTTTGCTCATTATCGGCCGGTGCGGAGAGCCGTCGCTTTCTCCGAGCGCCAATTACGCCGCTCTTTCACCGACCTCCATTTTATTCCTTCAGATCCAAAGAGAGTAATTACCTGTTGGGCAGTATTAGTCTCCGACGGCGGACGCGAACGGCTTCGCTCCAGGAGCACCGAGTTTCATGGCACACGCAAATTCTGGCCGCAATTTTTCACATCCAACACTCAAAAAAGCGCAGGGCGAAACTGGTTCCTGCTGTGTTACACGACAATAATCAAAGTCGCACTTCTTGATTCACTACTTTTTTTTAGCTGGCGCACTCGCTGCTGGACAATTCGATGAGAGCTCTCAACTGCAAGAGGACCTCGTCGTCCGGCAACTCTCCAGGATCTGACGGCAGTCGGAGCAGACCGCTTTTAAATCCACGTTCCGCAGAGAGGCATGCGCATGCGATGCCTGAAGAGAGGCATTCGATGGTGCCGCCGGTGAGTGAGCGACCGAGGCGAACAACCACTCGATCGGAGGCGGTTCGTCAAGAAATAGCTCCCAGAGAGAGAGAAAGCGGGCAAGGAAAATTTCCACCGCAAAAGCGTGTGTCTTTTCCAGAGGGAATTAATTAAAATCTGGTTCAGCGTAGTTGGTTTTGGAACGCCTGTCATTTGCACACCCACGCCCAATTTCCAAAGACTTAAACTGTGATAATCAAATGTTAGCTAAATAATGGATAAATTTTAGTGGCTTGCTTTTAATCTATTTCTATATAAATTCTATAATACAGAAAAAGGGGTAGAAAAATTGATGGGAAAATTGTATGAAAATAATTATTTGGATAATTTTATATAAATAATTAAAAAAATTGCTAGTTTTCTCTGTATTCATTTGTTTCATTTTTTATTTTTAATTTATGTCTTCAATATTCCATATTTGTTTGGTAAATATTGTAGACTTAAAAATTTAAGGGATTGAAATTTTTGTATATAATATGGCAAAATATTATTTTGCTAACATAGATCATACAACAAAGGGAAATGGAAATCTGAAAAAAAAAATCCAAATCGATGGTACTTCCATGATTTTTTTGAAGTATTTATTGTTTTAATATTGCGTCTAATAATTTATCAACTGTTGCATCTATTTACTATTAAAATGTAGCATTGTTCAGGACGTTGAAGTATATTTGTACTACTGTTTATAAAGATCCTCTTAATTATTAGAATAAATAGCTGGTGTGATAAATTATTATAGTAAAATAGAATAAGAAACAAATTTTCAGTTTGGACAGTTTTTGAGTTTATAAACTCACCGGCATGATCTGTGAATTGCTCTGTTAATAAATTAATTTGTAATTATTTTACAAAAACACTAAAACCGTCCAAATAGGGTTGTTAATTTCCCCCAAATTTACATTCAGCTTAATTAGATTTGAATCCGGAAAGCCCGAATTTTCGAGCAAAACTTGCACAATAAAGAAAGAATTCTCCCCTAAGCGCCTTGTTAATCATCCGCTCTCTTTGTTGTTTACCACTGTGGCCCGAAAAAGCCGTGCGCCCACCGCAGCACAAGCCCCAATTAAACGCATTCGGCGAGCGGCTGGACGAACTGCTGCTCTTAATTCCCGCAAATTAGCGACGACTTCCTGCTCGCTCGCTCTCCGCCGAAACGTCTAAATTGGCAATTAAAAGCGCGGCGCCGGCGAATGCGAATAACAAGCGGCGGCCTTGTCTGCGGCTCGCTAGGCATTCCGCCGGTCACACGTGTCGCGCGCGTTGCCTACTCGCCGCGACTCAAGGCGTTTCGCAGCCTCTGGATGTAATTACTCGGCGGCGGGGAAATTTCATTCCGCCCGCTGCGACAAAGGCAAGAAATTAATTAGGGTGCTTTCACTTGTCTTTCATAATTTTGATAGTTCATTTGACTCAAATTTCTATTTCTATTTGTGAGACTACTTTCTAAATTGATC